TATTGAAGAATCCAAAAGTAAGTTAACGCTTACTAACTGTTCGCTACCGAATAACCCCAACACTGTAAAACCACTCTTGTTTGTAGTTTTATATCGTCCACCAGGCCCTTACTCTGAGTTTTTGGATCAGATCTCTGATTTTTTTAATCTGATTTAGTGCTAAACACTGATAAGGTCATTGTAGTGGGGGATTTTAACATTCATGTGGACATTGAAAACGAGCCTCAATGTAGACTCAATTGGTTTTACTCAAAGAATACATAGCTCCACCCACTCCTGCCATCATACATTGGACCTTGTGCTGACTTATGGCATAGAGTGTGAGGAAATAACGATCTTTCCACATAATCCAGTCCTCTCGGACCACTTTCTGATAACCTTTGAGTTTTTTATACCTGAGTTCTCGAGACATGAAAGTAAATTTCACTATAGTCGGTCTCTATCTGACAATGCAGTTGCATCTTTTAAATAAACTGTTCCATCTTTACTGTCCTCAGCATCTCAGAGGCATGTAGCAGAGGGCAATATTTTCAGTTCTAGCCCCTCACAAATTGATGCCTTAATTCATCAAGTTAATTCCTCTTTACGTGTGGCATTAGATGATGTTGCCCCTTTAAAAAAGAAGGTAATTAGGGACAGGAAGACGGCTCCCTGGTTTAATTCTCATTTACGAGCCTTAAAACAAAACTCTAGGAAATTGGAGAGAACATGGCACTCTACACACCATGAGGAGGCCTACCTATCCAGGAAAAATAGTCTTGTGCTTTATAAAAATAAGCTTCGACAAACTAGAACTGCTTATTTTTCAGCATTAATTGAGGAGAATAAGCATAATCCTAAATTTCTTTTCAGTACAGTTGCTAAACTTACACAGAATCATAGCTCTGAGCCATCTATTCCCTTAGCCCTCATCAGCAATGACTTCATGGGATTTTTCACAAGAAAAATTAATTCTATTAGAAACAAAATCTTTAGCATCCTCCCTAATGCGATTTCTTCTTCCTCAGTAAGTGAGGCAGCATCAGAGGTGACTGTAGAACCTCATCTGTGTTTGAACCGTTTTGATCCAGTTGAGCTTTCAGAGTTATCAAAAATTTTAGCTTCATCTAAACCTTCAACTTGCATTTTGGATCCAATCCCAACCAAATTATTTAAAGAAGCATTCCTTTGGTTACTGCCCCCATTCTAGATATAATCAATCTATCCTTAGTAAATGGATATGTACCACAGGATTTTAAGGTTGCTGGAATCAAACCTTCACTTAAGAAGCCTTCTCTGGATCCAGATGACCCAATGAATTATAGACCAATATCTAACCTTCCATTTGTATCCAAAGTCCTGGAGAAAATAGTGGCCATCCAAGTATGTCAGCATTTAAACACTAAGGCTCTTTTTGAGGAATTTCAGTCTGGTTTTAGAGAGTATCACAGCACTGAAACTGCATTAGTGAGAGATACAAATGATATTCTCATGGCGTCAGATAAGAATCTTGTGTCTGTTCTAGTCTTGTTAGATCTCAGTGCTGCCTTTGACACAGTTGATCACAATGTTCTTTTAGAAAGACTTGACCAAGTTGTAGGGATCAAAGGAACAGCGCTAGGCTGGTTTAAATCCTATCTGTCTGACAGATTTCATTTTGCAAATGTACATGACAAATCGTCTTCATACTCCAGGGTTACTTGTGGAGTACCACAGGGTTCAGTGATTGGACCAATTCTTTTTACTATATATATGCTCCCAATTGGTAAAATCATTAGACAGCATGGGATAAACTTCCACTGTTATGCTGACGATACTCAGTTATATTTATCCATTAACCCTGATGAACCTAATCGGTTGGGTAGATTACAGGCTTGTTTTGAGGACATAAAAAATGGGATGACTCTAAACTTTTTGCTTTTAAATGAAGACAAGATGGAAGTTCTCATCTTTGGACCAGAAATCCAGAAAAGTAAATTTCTTAGTCAATCACCTGACCTGAATGGCATTACATTAATCTCCGAGAACAAAGTAAGGACCCTTGGTGTTATTGTTGACCAGGACATGTCATTCAAATCCCAGGTTAAACAGGTTTGCAGGATTTCCTTTTTCCACCTTCGGAATATTGCTAAGATTAGAAGCATACTTTCCAGGAGTGATGCTGAAAAACTAGTTCATGCATTTATTACATCAAGACTGGATTACTGTAATTCATTACTCTCAGGAAGTCCACAGAATGTAGTTAAAAGTCCTCAGCTTGTCCAAAATGCTGCAGCTAGAGTTCTGATGAGAATTAAAAAGGGAGATCATATCTCTCCTGTCCTAGCTTCCCTACATTGGCTACCTGTTAAATTCAGAATAGATTTTAAGATCCTTCTTCTCACATATAAAGCTCTTAATAATCAAGCTCCATCATACATCAGTGATCTGATTGTTCCATATGTTCCTAACCGAGCACTTCGCTCTCAGACTGCAGGTCTACTGGTGGTTCCCAGAATATCTAAAAATAGGATGGGAGGCAGATCTTTTAGTTATCAGGCTCCTCTCCTGTAGAACCAGCTCCCAGCTTTAGTCCATGAGGCAGACACCATGTCTACTTTTAAGACTAGGCTTAAACATTTTTGTTTGATAGGGCCTATGGTTAAAATCTGATGTTAGCCTAAATCTGGACAAGTGGGGGAGTAGAGGGAGGTGGAGTGTACAGTCGGTAAAGACGGCTCTCCCTTGCCCTGCCTCCAACATGCCTCCATCTAAATAGGATAGATTATCCAGAGTTATCTCTGTAGTTATGCTGCTATAGGCTTAGACTGCTGGAGGACACACTGACCACTTCCCACACTCTACTGCTTTATTCTACAGTCTGCTCTTTAACTGTATTATTTTCTGTGAGTTCAGCCGTGTGTGTGTGTGTGTGTGTGTGTGTGTGTGTGTGTGTGTGTGTGTGTGTGTGTGTGTGACTGCTCTGTCTTCTCGATCCCCAGTGAGTCGTGGAGGATGGCTGCTTATACTGAGCCAGGATTCTCTGGAGGTTTCTTCCTGTTAAAAGGGAGTTTTCTTCTCCACTGTCACTTTATGTTTGCTTAGTATGAGGATTGCTGTATAGTCACTGACACTAGTCAGTGACTTGATGCAATTTGCTGGGTTCCTTGTATAGGAAACATTATTTCTGATTGGCTTAATGAACTGACCTGAATTGGAATGTTTATTATGTGAAGTGCCTTGAGACGACTCTTGTCGTGATGTGGCGCTATATAAATAAAATTGAATTGAACTTTACCTCACGTGTCACGCCAAGTACGTCTGTTTCATTTAACTGTTTTCTTTGACCAAGGAAGGACAGTGTCCTTGTAAGCAAGGCGTCAGGCCAGCTAGGTGGCAGGCCAAGTAGGTGATAGGCCAGGTAGGTGGTAGGCCAGGTAGGTGATAGGCCAGGTAGGTGGTAGGCTAGGTAGGAGGTAGTGCAGGTAGGTGATAGGCCAGGTAGGTGGTAGGGCAGGTAGGTGATAGGCCAGATAGGTGGTAGGCTAGGTAGGTGGCAGGCCAGGTAGGTGATAGGCCAGGTAGGTGGTAGGGCAGGTTGGTGATAGGCCAGGTAGGTGGTAGGGCAGGTAGGTGATAGGCCAGGTAGGTGGTAGGGCAGGTAGGTGGTAGGCCAGGTAGGTGATAGGTCAGGTAGGTGGTAGGCCAGGTAGGTGATAGGCCAGGTAGGTGATAGGCCAGGTAGGTGGTAGGCCAGGGAGGTGATAAGCCAGGTAGGTGATAGACCAGGTAGTTGGTAGGGCAGGTAGGTGATAGGCCAGGTAGGTGGCAGGCCAGGTAGGTGATAGGCCAGGTAGGTGGTAGGGCAGGTTGGTGATAGGCCAGGTAGGTGGTAGGGCAGGTAGGTGATAGGCCAGGTAGGTGGCAGGCCAGGTAGGTGGTAGGGCAGGTAGGTGATAGGCCAGGTAGGTGGCAGGCCAGGTAGGTGATAGGCCAGGTAGGTGATAGGCCAGGTAGGTGGTAGGGCAGGTAGGTGATAGGCCAGGTAGGTGGCAGGCCAGGTAGGTGATAGGCCAGGTAGGTGGTAGGGCAGGTTGGTGATAGGCCAGGTAGGTGGTAGGGCAGGTAGGTGATAGGCCAGGTAGGTGGTAGGGCAGGTAGGTGGTAGGCCAGGTAGGTGATAGGCCAGTTAGGTGATTGGCCAGGTAGGTGGCAGGCCAGGTAGGTGATACGCCAGGTAGGTGATAGACCAGGTAGGTGGTAGGCCAGGTAGGTGATAGGCCAGGTAGGTGATAGGCCAGGTAGGTGGTAGGCCAGGGAGGTGATAAGCCAGGTAGGTGATAGGTCAGGGAGGTGATAAGCCAGGTAGGTGATAGGTCAGGGAGGTGATAAGCCAGGTAGGTGATAGGTCAGGTAGGTGGTAGGCCAGGTAGGTGATAAGCCAGGTAGGTGGTAGGCCAGGTAATTGATAGGCCAGGTAGGTGGTAGGTCAGGTAGTTGAAAGGCTAGGTAGGTGATAGACCGGGTAGGTGATAGGCAAGGTAGGTGGTAGGCCAGATGCCTTGACATTGAGAAACACCCATTTATATTCTTTTTAAAAGTGTTTATACATCTGTGTGGCAACAGTGGCTGTTGCTGTGCTGTTCTGGCTGACTTTAACTATGTGACTAGCAAGACATAGAATTAATGTTAGTCAGGCTTAAATTAAGTATTTTGTCTAAAAGTAATCAGAGTAAATGTGACAAAAATCCAGAAAATTAGAAACATTGTGCTCACAACATTTTCATTGGCTGACCCAGCAATGACCTGGGGTCACACGACAGCTTAGCTGACAATAAACCCTAGGTCAACAACAGAGATCAGGCTGTGCTAAGTGTTGCCATTCAAATCTTATAACAACCAATAAAAGTGGTGTAGGGCACCCCATAAGATACTTATGAGGACATTCTGGATAAATAATAAGCAGTAACAATGAATACATGTTTTTTTCTTTAAGTCTGAAGTGTGCAACAAGCTGTACACATGACTTGGACTTGTCTCACCTGTAGAAAGTATAAGGGTTCAGGTCAAACACCTCCAGTGACCTGGCATCAGGTTCATTAGCCAACTCCTGAACCATCAGCCACTCTTCATTTTCTCCAATTATACCAATCTGGAATGCACAGGTAAGTGGGTTACATAGTGGTCAGTAATGGAAACAAGTTACTAATTAAACATGTGCTTCATTATTAATACCTCAACCATCCAAATAACATAAATAATTAAAAGTGTCTCACCTGAGCTTCAACCAGCCAGCGAGAAATTGATGTTTTCCCATCATAACCCGGTTTGAACTGTAGGTTGACAGAACGTGAGCTGATGTCAGAAATAGCTAGATTGGTGGGGGGACCAGGCAACTCTGTAAAGCACAATAAAGAAAACAAATACATATAAATCAGCATTGATTTGAGGACTTATTAAGCATTAAGCTGCAGAGTCACAGTTTAATGAAATCAATCATACTGACCTGGTGGTACACCTGAAGATATGGTGGATGCGGATAGCTGGCCTTGACCTTTGGAAGTCATGGCCGCCACCTGAATGGTGTAAGTAGTCAGGGCAGTGAGTCCAGTAACCCTGTACTCCTGAGTCAGGTTGGGTAAATAATGGGTGACTCTGGTGTTTGTTCTGTTGAACTCCTCCCAGGAAATTCGGTATCCTGAAACAAGAAAAGAAATCCACAAAGCAGTGGTCACAATAAGCATCACTTTATTTAAATTTGCGCCAATGTTGCAAATTTATTCTTGCTACCTGTGAGAAAACCGTTTTTCTCCAGTGGCTCCTCCCAACTGACTTTTAGAGAAGTATCCAGGATGTCAGTGAAACTAAGGTGACCCACAGCCCCAGGAGCTGGACAAGATTTAAAACAGGCAGTAACGCAATAGAGCAAGGGCCCAGTTTATGCTCACCTTTATGGCATGCAGCATTTAATTCTAAGGAAATACTTACTATCCTCATGGGTGCGTATCCGTTGAGGTGGACTACGGGGCCCGTCTCCAGGTGTAGTGAAGCAGAGCACTGAACTGTAGTAATCAGTGAACTTTTTAAGGCCAGAGATGTAACCAACATGAACACTGTCCTGAAAGTTTGGGCGGACCGTAACCACGGTGACCTCATTTGGACGACTTGGTTCCCAGGCCAAAAGCTGGAGATTGGGTGATAGATGGGGCGATAGATAGTGTCACCGTTCTCGTTTTAGGCATATCTCCCAAATATATAGTGGGCAGAAAAATGTAACAAGAGTAGGAATGTCCGATATATCAGCATCAAAATTGGTATTGGCCAATGTTAGTCATGTTTTAACATACGTACCAGTATCAGTCCGATACGTAAAACTGGGTCGATATTAACAATGTTTGTAAAGTGCTAAGTAAATTATAATAGATATTCATATATATATAGAGAGAGCTCCGGACCCCACGTGACTCTCAGTTAGTAGACGCCATATTGGCAGGTAAAAAAAGCTAAACAAACACGGATCGTAAACATGAACGTGAATGGGATCGGCTTGGATTTTACTTCGTCGGAGTTTACTTCACACTTTTAAACTGAAGAAATCGTTTTACATAGTCAGAAATTAAATAGACTAAACATCTCCGACCCTTACCGTGCCCCTGGGATACTTTTTTAAAAAATGCCAGAAGCTGTCGGAGCGGACTTCTTACCGGACCTGGCCGGGGAACCCCTTGGGATTCCCCCGGAGGAGCTGGCTCAGGCGGCTGGGGAGAGGGAAGTCTGGGCCTCTCGACGCTACTGCCCCCACAACCCGACTCCAGATAAGCGGATGAAAATGGATGGATGGACAAGTAACAGATTTACACGTAAGTAGTTTAAATAGAGTGCTGTGCTTTTTGAATATATAAACTGAACGCCAAGAGAAATCACTAGTTTGATTGTTTTCCGTGAATAAAATAAATATGTCAGGCAGGAGTGTCTCAGGATCTGTCTGAGATCTGTCTCGGTGAGACAGATAATAGCAATCCAAAGTGCTTTTTATGTGTGATCTGACATTAGCCGGTTAATTGCTGTGATCACAAAACACGTAAACGGCAGCATGCAGAAATCACGAGGCAACGTTTTACGTGATGTTTACTTGCTGCTATGAGTAATAAGACAGAAAAAGCCCCGCCAAAATAAGTTTAGGAAGCCCACTAAGAATCGTAATAAACGCATTTAAAATAAATACCATACACAGTTGAGGAAACGTTGGTTTAAGTACCTGATATGAAGCGATCGCTGCATAAGTGAAAACCTTTACTCTCGGGATCCCACAGCTTCATTTTAGCCCGGTCACTAGCGCATTTTATTACAATGATCCAACGTTTGCGGCGCTCCGGATCTTGGGGAATCCTGTAGATGGCTCATTCCTTATGTCGTCCGTGTCTGTTCTGCATCCTGGGGCACAACAGGAATCTACCATATTTCCTGTCTGATTGAGTTTTCTGACAATAACAAATAGTCCAGCTACCGGCTTCTACCTGCCAATATGGCGCCGTTTCGATTTGAACTGTTGCATGCCGGGAGAAGTGACGTCAACTCCCGGAGCTCTATATATGCAAATATTGGTTATTGACCATATCAGCGATTTAATATCAGATACTGGCCCAAAATTTCTTATCAGTGCATCCCTAAACAAAAGTTAAGTTCAGACAGTTTAACAATAACAGGGTGGCTGATCCTAACCCTAACCCTCTGACCACTAGAGAGCACCAGTCGACAGAAGGCCTCTGCTCACCTTATATCCCTGGTTGATTCCATTGATAAACTGAGGACTTGGGGCAGTCCAGGTAAAACGCACAGCGGTGGAGTTGACAGCTTCAGCTTGCACATTTCCCGGAGGCACAGTGGGCACTGATCCAAAGAGTGGAGAAAAACAAGAGATTAAAGGAGAGAGAGGGATTAAAGCAGAGGGGGGGTTCAAGCCTTAAAGAGACATTTTTAGACTCGATTCATACAGAGCATGAGAATCGGGCTGAAGACACTTGTATTTGGGCTCATTTGGGGAGGTAAGAACATGCCAGTCAAACAGGGTGTGAGAGCAGTAGCCTCCGGCAGCTTCCAGGTAAACCCCGCAGCAGTTTGTTTGAAGTGAGCATGCCACTCAGATGTAACGAGGGAAAGCAGTTAGGGAGCTGCACATTAACGAAGCCGATGGAACCATATTGGTCCTGATGTCCCCCGCGCTGCCTTTAATTGTCTCAGAACGCACAAACATGTCTGCTCTGGACCACTCAGAGGAGAAGCTGATAAAAAAAATCTACGTATATCTAATGAGAGCAAGACTAAACAGCATTTATTCACAGTATTCGTGATCACTACCTGAATGTTGAAAGCATTTTTAATGAAGACGAAACAGAGATAAAAGTTTAACGTCAAAGATATGCAAATGAAAAAAGAGAAAAGTAAAACTGTAAGCTTGTTTTTGGCACTCAGACATCAATCCTGATGCTTTACAGCTGGACAGGACGCGGGGAAAAGAATCCCCAGAAATCTCACATTTCCTCAGAAATGCAGCGTACTTGTTTATCTGAAACTCTGACCAACTGTGATTCCAATAATCAGGCATCACACAACGATTGCTGATGGATCTTCCAGCTTCAGCTTCCACCTAGATCTATGAAGACACTAGATTGTCACTGCACTTTGTCTGTTGGTGATGGGTTGTTCAGTAAAAGATTTGTGTTCACTAACATGTAACCAGGATACATAAAGTGAAAAAAGTGTTTAGTCCATTATTTTTTTTCTACCAACGTTTGGATTATCAATGAATAACGTACAACTGAACAAGCTGATTTGTCCTTTTTACAACGAGGGGCAAATTCTGCATTTGTGAAAAATATCCCAACTTTATGCTAAATGTGCCGAGTGACCAACAACAACTCCTGGTTGAGGAGTTGGAAGTCATTGTATTGTGTGGCTGGTAAAGGTGTGTGTCACGTTGTGCGCTGGAGGAGTTGGACCCAATGCGCAGACACCCAGAACGACACGAGGCAGGAGAGGATGTAAAGGTAAACATTCTTTATTTAGAATGAAGCCAAAAACCTAGTAGGGCATGAAGCCAAAACCTAGAGACCTAAAAGGAGGGGAGGGACCAACAACGCTGACAAGGACAATGGACCAACAACACACCAAGGCCCTGTCCACACGTAGCCGGGGATCTGCCAAAACGTAGATATTTTTCTACGTTTTGGCCTGTCATCCACATGAAAACGGAGTTTTTTCACACGAAAACGGATCTTTTTAAAAACTCCGGCCAAAGTGAAGATCTGCGTTTTCTCCGTTTTGGGTGTCTGCGTGTGGACGGACAAAACCGGAGTTTTAAGGTCCGCAACGTCACTTTCCGCGACAAAAAAATGCTGACATCACGTGTGCGACCTGTGTTTACACTAGCCGACAGCATGGACGCCCTCAGAGCTGCGCTCGCTTTATCAATTGTCCAAGCGCTTTTTGCTTGTTTGTTTTTGCAAGCGGAATTACTGCTCCTTGCGGAAGACCACAGACGAAGGACGAGGTTAAGAACGGGGGAAGTACTGCCGCCTACAGGTCTGGCATGTCCTTAACAACGTATTTATCCGGGTACGTGTGGACAGTTTTTTTTTAAACGAGGTGGTGTGGATGCAAGTTTTTGGAGGGGCGGATATTCGTTTAAAAAAAAAAACCCGGCTACGTGTGGACTAGGCCTAAGACGCAGACAGGGTTTTAAACACAGGGGCAGGATGATTGGGAGATGAGCTGCAGGTGCGTGGGGGAGAGAGAAACTGAGAAAACCTGGTGAAATCAATTTACTAATCAGGGAGAGGAATCTAATCTGAGGAGGGGAAATAAAACATAACCTATGAATAATAATCAAGCCTAAAGACTAGAAGAACCAGATAAATAGCTAATCATCTGAGGAGAAAGAAACCGGTGGGGAAGGAACAAGGAAGGAACCTAAAATAAAACCTGAACCTATGAAAACTACAGGGAAAAAGTAGCTAGATAATATAATTACAAAGAGAACTAAAGAATAAGTGAACCTGGGAAACCTGGTGGGAGCTGGAGACAAGAAGGGGCACAGGAAGCTTGGGTACACATGAGGGGGACCCTGGAGGGACACCTGGAGGGGTTGGAGACCTAAAGGGGCACAGAAACCTAAGGGGAGAACCTGGAGTGGGCTGGGGAACACAAGGAGGCACATGAGAAACACAAGGAGACACAAAAGGGGAAACTAAGGCCTGTAAAAGACTAAAACCATCAACATGTTTTGTTTTTTGACTTTTTACATAATAAAACCAATTCCTTCCAATTGAAAATCTATTTTCTTGTAATTGTGACTTTCCAGCTAGACACCACTGGTGACCATAAAGTCCAGTGTGTTGTGCTTACCTCCTTGTAGAGTCCACTCTGTGACTTTGTGGCTGTAGGTGCCCCTGCCTGCTCCATTGTAGGAAGCTACTTCAATCTCATAGTTTGTCCAGATGATGAGATCCTCCAAGATCAGGCTGGTCTGGTCTGGGCTAGTAATGTTTTTTATCTGACAATCAACTGGAAGCCCCGACAGGCAGTACCTGGCCCCCAGTGGGAGTCATAGAAAGACAAGGACAACACAGACAGAATATTAGGACACAACGTCTCTCATAAGAGCTAGGGAGGCAGAGCAGTAATGTGAAAAACACAAAAAAATCCATGAAACACAAAATGAGAGGTGACAACAATGAAAGCAGGGGAAGCTTTTAATTGGCACCAATTATTCTGCAGCAGCAACGAGCAGGAATGAGGCAAAATCGAGGCAAAGAAACAGAGCCAACGTAGCAGTTATCATATTTGAATAGCGCCGACTGAAACAGGCACCATCCTCTGGTGAGGTCTACTCACCTGATGATGTAGCCCTGGAGAGGGCCGTTCTGATAGCTCTCTGGTGGCGGCTGCCACTGGATCATGATGGACTGATTGGTGCGGCCACTTGCAATGACAGTCTGAGGGGGTGCACTAGGCGGCTCCTCAGGGAGGGTCAGTCTACAGCAAGCAAGACAGCAAAAGAGGACAAAGAGGTAAAAGATGAGACAAATGGTGAAGCTATGCATTAATTATCGGGAGTTTCTACATATTTCTAACCCATTTCATCATAGACATCCCTTTGTATTTTGCTTTTCGCACACCACAGAAAGAAACGCTGGGAAAGTGTGGTCGGTTTTTTTCCTCTCCCAAAAACAGACTTTATACAACTGTCCGCAGAGGGACAGCGTGCTGTGGCGAAGAAGAGATGAAAGACTCCTTGGTGAAAAAGGAGCAGCATGATGGAGAGAAAGATAGAAAAGAACAAGAAAGAGAGCTCCATGAAGGCTTTCCTTTTAAGTCAATTTAAGATGACATCTTGATTTCTTCCCACTGTACCAGAGCAGCCCTCTGGAGGAGATGAAGCAGAGTGTTTAGGATCAAAGAAGTGTGCCAGAGAGATGCCTCATGAAAAAAAACGTCTTGCGTTCACTGACGCACCTCCTACGGTGCTCTCTTGTTTAGGCAGACTCACGCAAGAATCTAGTCAATGAGTTTGTGGTGTAAAGGCTCAACGATTGGTGGCGATGTCTTTCATTTACAGAACAAAAAAAAAAAAAAAAAAAAAAAGAAAAGAAGAAAATGTTGACAACGGCAATCTATCTGTGGTTATATGTGGTTCTCAGTAACCATAGAAGGCGCTTGGGTTAGCCTTCAGAAATCTGCTCTGACTCTGTGTTGAGCTTGTCTATTTAATGGCTCTGTGTACTTTACTCATGAAATACTGCAAACATATGAACGACAAAGATGAAGCTGGGTCAGAGCACCATTGGGTCTACACTAAGTGCAGCTCATTCCCATTTATATCTAAAAAACAAAAGCTCATCTCTTCCTCAAAAACCAAAACTCAGGATTTTCTACTGAACAGCAAGTTTCTTAAACTTCAATCTGTATTTGATTGTAGATCAGATCCTAAATGCACCCACCGATCAGTCTCCTTGCTGAACTGGCCTCTGCCCACGTCGTTGACAGCACACAGGCGGAACTGGTACGAACGAGCGGGGATGAGAGCACCAACAACAACCCCAGTAGACTCTGGCTCAATGTTAGCCAGCAGCACCGTCCAAGGAGCATCTATGGAAGAAACACAAAAAGAGCTCTAAATGTTAAATGCTTCACATTAAAATGCGCCCAGCAAAAGCAAATACAAATTCTGTGTTATTTCACTTTATTATCGCCCAGCATCGTTTCATTTTCCATTCTGATTTGGCAGAAACCAACAGAAACAAGTCATTTATTTTGCATGTACTCCTCTCCAAATATCAGATTGCAATTCAATTGTCTAAAGCCCAGATCCCATCTGCATTCTCAGACTCATTTTCCTTTTAATGAGTAGTCATTTTCTCAGTTAGCCTCAGCTAAAATGAGCGATGCTTGAACAGTTTACTCTCTGTGGGTGAAAACATTCCAAGTTCTTTGATTTTATCTAGTGAAAAAGAAGATATGAGCATTGGACGTGCACTCAGTGTGGTTCCCCTGATCATTCATAAGGAAGCACACAAGCAAGGCAATTGAGTTATAGTGATTGCAGAAGGCATGAAAGGATGCAACTGCCAATTTAAGGGAAACAATACAGACGTAATATAATAGGAGAGGCTGCAAACGAGTGCATCGGCAGGGTAAAACACAGAAAAATGCTTTTAAGATTACAAACAGGAGACACCCCTTTCCACGCGTTTAAGAAACTCACTGTTCTCCGAGACCTCCAGGATGTAACGGATCAGGGGGCTGTTTCCATCAAAGGCCTGGGCCCATGTGAGGTTGATGGCCCTCTTTTCTGAGGTACTCAGAACTGCCACTGGGTTCTCTGGAGCATGAGGCAGTTGCCTGTATGTGAAATGTTTGTTTTTGTGAGAGCAGGAACAAATAATCCAGGCAAGAGAGGTGCCAAATAACAAAACTAAACAGGCAAACAGAGAGCGTTGCGTGGTAAATATTAGTGGTGTCCGATCGATTAGAAAGGAAAGCTGCAATAAACCCACAAGAGAGGAGAAAGCAAAGCATCCATCCATCATGCCCCCCCCCCCCACCCCCCCACCCCCCCAGACTGAAATAAGAAAGAAAAACATTTCAATGAAATGGGGGGAACGTGAGTGAGACCTGACTCGGAGGTGGGCGCTGCGGGAGTCATTTCCACCCACGGATGTTACCCTGCAGGTATACGTTCCAATGTCCCCCGACCACGTCTGGGAGATGTGCAGAGTCCCGTCAGGATCCAAACGCAGGCGGGGCGATGTGTTCACGTCAATCACTGAGCCGCCCTTCTCCCACACAAACCTGCAGACGAGAGCTGGTAAGTGTGTCATACGTGCATGCCGGGACAAACACACACTTTTACAACACTCTTGACTCCCGGGTGTTGTGACAGTAAATCTGTTTGCCTTGTGTCAGTTCTCACGCCAAACACAGAAGCTGCTGACACTGATGAAAAGCCTTGTGAAGTGGATAACAAAGTGTTCTGAATCTGACACACTTCCAGAACAGAACCAATCATCCAGCGTCCCAGCCGAGTCTTACACCTCACATACAATCACTCACACACACACACTGGCATGCTCATGCTGGAAAGCTACTGTGATTAATTGCAACTATTTGGGCTCCCCGGCTAATCTCCTCTGTGCTGCATTTAATTAAATGTGGTGTGTGCGGTTATTACGCTGTTTACATATTCATCTGTTTACCCTGCAATCTGATCAATGTCGCAGGCCCGCAGGTGACAAGCACTCTAATCGCCGGGCTTCGAAGACGACATTTTACTCCCTCTGAGACACACACACTACCGCACGCAAGGCAGTCTCAGAAGTGAAGGAGGGACATGAATCTGAGAGTTTAGGAGGCTTTCAGAGGATTAACAATATGAGATCTCCAGCAGATATCCTAAACTAATTAGATGCAAAACACATACCCGAGTTTATTTTCTATACTAGAACTGAGTCGACTATAACTCAGTGAAAATGTACAGAATTTCAGCATTTTTACCTCACAGTTACACTGGGATCATGGGTCACACCACAGGTCATGACAGCTTTGGTTCCTTTGATGACGCTCTGGTCTTGAGGTGGTTTTGTGATGCGTGTACGTGCTGTGAAACAAAAGCAGACATCCTCTTTCAGAGACACCAGGCTTTGGCAGTGGACTGAACAGAGCTCATTAAGGTAGGTCTGATCTTTTTACTGAAAAAATATAATCCACAAATCACTTTCAGTAGATGTTTTACACAACTGTTCAAGGCCTGACAGTCTAAATAAATACTGGACATGTTCTCCCTCACTGGCTGAGAATAATATTCTGACAATGACCCTAAAAACAGTCCCTGTAAATAAACAAGAGATGCATTATGTAGGGATTTCTTGTTCTGTCAACATCTCTGCAAAAAGTAAACAGTCAAAGGTGAAAACCAGTCAAATGGCCTAGGTTTGGAGAAACAGAGTTTGGTTCTGACATAGTCATCATCAGGTCAGTTGCAAAGTGTTTCTCATCGACTTCAATCTAATAAAAAATTCAAAATAAATCTAGTAACAATTATGTAAACATTCACTCTGCTATAGATTTCCTTTACGTGGTTGATTCAATAGATGTCTGTAGATTTTTGTAGTAAAAGCTAGCAGCAGCCTTGGAGACTGGATCTCCAACTTTGCTCATTGTAACAAGTTGTTAGCACTTCGTCCAATATGAACTGTTTATCTTTGTCCATTAATAACTATCATGCTATTTATATCCTCCCCTTGGGATGAATCCTGGACAAGTACGACCTAAAATACCATACATACGCTGACGACTGCCAACTTTATTTGGCCATGAACACACCGAATAGTCCCACTCCTCCACGACTGCCTTACAGAAGGGAGGAGTTGGTTAGCTTCTCACTTTTTGTAGCAATACGAGAGAAAAACAGAGGCAGCTCGTTTGGATCCGTGCAACTTCTCACTCCCGTGCACCATCCCTGTTTCCTAGCATCCCTCTCCAGTAATGTGTGACCAGCCTTGTGGTTCAATTGGACACAAACCTTTCAATGCCCCCCAGATCAATGCAACCAGTAAAACGTGTTTGTTTCAACCTAGCTCGTCTCAAACAGATTTTAAAGAAGCAGCATTTGGAGTGTGTCACACACACTTTTATAACATCACACCTGGACTACGCTAACTCGACTCTGTGGTGTCCCTGCCTCAGCCCTCAACAGACTGTAGAAAGTACAGAATGCAGCTGCCAGGTTTTTAACAAACACTAACCACCGCCTCTACATCATAGTCCTGGCCCAATTACACTGGCTCCCAGTTCATTTGCAGGTAAGGTCCAAGGACCTGACATTTGTCTATAAAGCCTTAAATGGTCTTTTTCCTGTTTATTTCACCCCCTACGTCCTGGCGTGCACCTTCACGCCAGGACGTAGGGGGTGGGTTTACTTCGCAAACCCACCATGAAGTACAAATCCCAGAGGCAGCAGGCCACACTGTCCCTCACTAGCTTCAAGTCACTATGACTTGGCATTTGGCCAGTGATTGTTTATCTCTTACTCTGTGTTTTACTGTTGTTTCTTTTAATCATGTTTATTTACTGTATCTTAACCCTCCCACTGTCCTATTGGGTGGCCCCTCCAGGAAAGGTGAGATGAGCAGGGTTTATCCCTTCAGGTCCACGTGGCCGGGGTGAGATGGTGCTCACCCCTTACCCCTGCCACGTGGACCTGAAGGGATAAACAAGGGGTGGGCAACCTTTTCCCATCAAAGAGCCATTACTACCCATTTCCCACCGTAAGGAAAACACTGAGAGCCACAGCAGCCGCGGCGTTGTGGGAGGGCCTACCCGGCCTGGGCACACCCACTTGCACTTGGGCACATCCTATAAGACAGCCGAGAGCTGCTTTAACCGGTCACAACAGGTGACAACCACCTTACCGGTCGCTCGTGTACATCAAAGTTATCTCTGAACAGAAGATATTTCATAAAACAATTGGGATAAAATTGATCCAGAAGTTTGTGAATACACTATTTTGATATTTTTCACCATGTTGGTGGTTTTATAGTTGTGCAGGTGCCCATTTAGACGCGTCACACACGTCTCCTTTTAAAACACGTTTAAACTGTTCAGAATACAAATCCAGGCCCTGCCTCATTGGATTGTTGTAATTAAACTTTGTACTGAAAGAAACTTTACATTAAACCACGGTTGGTTCCTCGGAGCACTGACCTGCATGTTTATTGCCTCCTCAGGAGCACATCAAGTGCTGCAGAGGCCTGTTAGTCACTCATTCATTTAAGTCAGGTGTGTGGCAGCAGGTAAACACTGGTGTTTGAAAGGTCAACATGGAAAACATGCAGGACAGTGAGCCCCGAGGACCAGGGTTGGGAAACACCGCATTAAACAATGTAGAAAAGGTAACAAAAGGATCCAGTTAATTAGATTTTCCCCTCACTTACAGTCATGGAGACAACGGCACAGCGTGCATGGCTCTGGTGTTAAACAAGTTTAATGTTTCTCTTTCCAAAAATCTTCACAAGAAGGCAAAACAGTTCAATGGCAGGGTTCGCTTTGACCGGACTTTGGTCCTTTATTCTGACGGAGAAACCTCTAGCCTGTTGGTCGTTGTGAAAGAATTTCCCCGACGCATTCAGACGCGTCATTTTAATCGTTACTCACATCCGGAGGCAGCTGAATCAGTCAAGAAATGATTCCCATCGGAACATCTGAGCATTATCCTGGACACTGTGCTCAGCGCAGCTCGCTGTCAGCGAGCACGTAAGGTGGACAGCGAGCTGAAGATGTGGAGAAGGGCTTAGAGCGCGTCGTCACCGGCAGCTGCAGAACCAGAGTGGGAAGATTCCTCTCACTGAAGCGAGTGTTCTCCAAACCCGGTCTCTCAGAGAGACTTGCCACTTAATACATTTTAATTTAATATTCATTTATGATTTTACAAGCACAGAGAGCCACATCAGATGGATGAAAGAGCCGACCCCTGGGATAAACCATCAACCCTGCTCAACGGTCACCTTTCCTGGAGGGGTCAACCGATGGAACAGCGGGAGGGTCAAGCCTGCTTTAGTTGTACAGTACTTCGGTCCGCTCTCATGCTGTGTTTCTAATGAGCTTTAGAAATAAATATGGTATATGATACTGATTATGATCATTTTTAATGTGACATGTTTTAACTGTGGTCTTCCTCAGAAGTGTTAGCAGATGTTCTGTGATGTATCGTGATCAGGCTTGCAGGACAAACCATGAAGATACGTCACAAGAAACATCGAGTGACTCTTCTTTGGAGGACTGAGGCTGACAGCTAAAGCATGCCAACGTAAAACAACCGCTCATCTTTAGGTCTGAACAAAGACAAAATGACAATCATTAGATAATCTGTTTCTCCAATCTAATCTGATTAAAAATTTACCAACAACATGGAAGATTAAACACACTTAAAAAGATCTGGGGTCTCATTTATCAACCGTACTTATGCACAGATCTGTGCGTATATGGAGCGTAGGAACAAATATACGCATTGTGTGGTATTCATCATTTTGTACCTGTGCGTGGAAACGTTCCTAAACATAAGAAGCCTGCAGACCAGGCGCAGGGACAGCATCTAGGGGTGGAACGGGAGAATCGTAACACTGAAGGTCTCAGTCATCCACGCATGTTCCTCATCCACTAATTATTTTACCCAATAAATAATTATTTTGGTGGACAAACAGCCGTTTCACATAGTTGGTGCTACGACACCGACGGGAACCTGACACTGTAGAATAGATTTAGTGCTTTTTATAATCACAACTGTTGCTTTTCCCATTATTATGATGTTCTTAATTGTTTTTTATTCACTAATATTATTTTAAATAAAATTTTATTATATTAATTATTCATTCTTGTGAATGGCCTCGTGATTTTGCTTGTGATGCGCTAGATTAAAGATTGTTTCTTATTATTATTGTTATTTGTCAGCGTGTGCTCTCTGGAATAAACGCATTTCCATGAGCGCACTAACAAGGTCCGTCTGGAGCTAGGCTGTCATTTGGGACCCAATGTGGATAAACCGCCTGAATCCGATATCAGTCCATATCCTATTTTACAACTACCTGAACCTCCTCTGCTCCTGATCACACACGCGTTGCCAAGGTAACCAGACAGAATGGCAGTTCAGAAGAGACTGATGTCTCTACATAACTCCAACCAGAACGACTCCTTACATGTAAAATGAAAATGAACCCGTTACTCTACGATATTAAAGTTTTTATTCATCCCTGACAGGAACCTCTCCTCTATCCTGATTGCCTTTATAACCTTTGCTGCTTGTTTGATTTTTATTTTTGCACCTCGGCAGTCGTCAGCCAGTGTCTCGACCTCGCAACAAAGTTTTATTTTTTACCGGGTAGAGCGCAGGAAATCCCCTCACGTGCTGAGGACGTAACGTGACCAAATATGGTTAGTTGAGGGCATTTCTGTATAAAATGACTGAGAACGGACATGAGCAGCTGGGTACGCACAGGCGAGGTTTATCATCGGGGGACATGCGTATGAGAGGCCACCGCATGTTTCATCAATCAGGATTTTGACCGTTTATATGAACATTCTAAATTCCGTTCATAGGAAGCAATGCAGGAATTTTTCCACGAACGTTTGATGAACGAGGCCCCTGGTCTGTTCGTTTTAGCTTACCCCAAACCACCAGGTCAGCTGAAGCTTCGTCGATGCCCCTGGAGTTACTGGCCATGCAGGTGTAAGTACCAGCATCCGACAGGTGGGAGGGGCTGATGAGCAGGCTGCCGGACTCCAGCAGGGTGAACCTGGGCTGCTGGACCGAGCCGCTGGCCAATACACGTTCACCTGCAGAGTAGGGTGGAAGTGATTGATGGTGTGAGAAGGAGGACAAAGGGGGGGAGGTGGCGGGCCGGGGAAAAGAGTGATTAGGGCATTGGAGAAATGTCAAGGAAAACAAACAAGAAGGAAAACAGTGAAGAAAAATAAAGAGATAAAGCTTGGCTGGCCACCATTTATATTCCGAGTCTTTTCCATAGCTCTCGTCTAAGTCTGGCAAGTAGAAATGCAGCATAATAACCCACCCCACCAGAACCTCATGCTGTTAGCCCACGCACCTTTCTGCCAGGTGATGGCTGGGCGCGGAGCTCCTGAGGTCTCACAATGCAAGATGACTGACATGCCATCAATCACTGCGCTGTCAGAGGGGCCGGCGGTGATGTTGGGGGCAATACCTGAGATGGGTCAGCCACACACACACACACACACACACACACACGCACGCACGCACGCACGCACGCGCACGCACGCACGCACGCACGCACGCACACACACACACACACACACACACACACACACGCACGCACACACACGCACGCACACACACACACACACACACACACACACACACACACGCACACACACACACACATTGATTTGAACAAAATCGGGAGAGACAGAGGCGATAATGAGACATAAACAGCTTTCTCCCTAATAAAGCAGGCAGCGGTTGAGAGCTTAATAGACTTGACCAAAGGGGCAGCTGTCAGGTCTCATTCCCAACGACAGCTCTAAGACTCCAACCTGAGCCTTCATCTCTCTCCTCCTCCTTTTTGTTTAAAAAAATAATTGCCCAAATTCTCAAGGTGACTGCAAAGAGACGTAAAGACAGACGGTTGTTGGGAAAAGAGGAGAAGTCTAAGAATGTCAAGAATAGGACGGGACGGTCAAGAAGACAACTGAGGACAAATAAAATGTTGAGATTTCAAAGTGACCTACTTGTAACAGCTAGGTAGGTGTTTGTTTGGATCTCTCCTGCAAGGTTGCGAGCAAAGCACTGAAACATCCCAGTGTCGTCTGGCAAGAGGCCATTGATCTGCAGGCTGCCTCCTACCAGCACCTTGTACCTGGGGATCTTCACCGGGCTGATTGGCACTGCATCCTTATACCACACAATGTCTGGCTGTGGTGTTCCTGGAGAGCAAATAGAGGAGTTCTCTTTTGTTATTTGCTCTTTCACTCATGCATTAACCATGACAAAGACGAACCTCGTGCTTGACAAGGAATATCCACCACTTTCTCCATTTCAGCAGTGATGTGGCTGGGCGGCTCTTTTATGAATAACGGATATTCTGTTTGAGGCAGAAAAAGGCAGTCAGTGCTCCATTAGAGCCTTTTAGAATCAACCCAACCTCATGCGTGCTAATTCCATCAGCGTTCTGTTGAATTCAACGTCAGTAAAACGACTGATGGCAGCACACGCACTTTTCCTCTCTGAAACTCTCAACATGAGGGTGAGCCTGCTGAGGTAGCTTCCAGCTGCTCTGAGCAGTGTTGGAGTGTCAGCTGGGCTTTAATTACCAAGAACATGCAGGTAGGCCCCGGCGGAGACTGAAGGGACGCTGCTACTGCGAAGGGATGCCTCACACTCGTAGTAGCCACTGTCGCTGACTGCAGGCAAGCCAATGACCAATCTACGGCTGAAATCTCGGATCCCAGTGCTGACCACCACTCCATTCTTCCTCCAAGTAATATTCATTTTAACGAGGGGTCTGGATGATATGGAAAAAGATGAAAAGAAGAAAGCGAGAGTAAGAAATAGACAACGTGGCGTTAATGCAAAATGATATGCTGTTTCAAGGTTAAAGAGCATTGAGGGTGAAATGTGATACATCTGTCATTCTGATTAAGTCTTTGAACAGGAGATAATAATCTGAATACAGGGCTGGGATTGTGTGAGATAGGGAGAACAGAGCAAAGCCTTGAATCAAAGGGAAGAATGGGGAGAGGTACAAAACGGGAGCTGTGCAAAACATTTTTCGATCATGTTCAAACAAAAGATTTCCAAACTCATTTAAATCACAAAATATCAGATTTAGAGGCGAGAGAAAAAGGGTGGGGGTGGTTTTATAATGTGTATGTGTCTTTTCCTCAAACTGCACATACTCATTCAAATCCTTACCTCGCATTAGCAACACACTCCATGACGGCGTCGTTTCTCCCCACTGTTACGGTGGTGTTTTTAGGGGGGATGATGATGGAGGGAGCAATCGGGTCTGCAGGTCCTCCCACATCTATTGCACACAGGAACACAGAGAAAAAGCTAAAGCAACCAATAACAGCACAGTACTCTCTGATTTAGCTTCTGCATCTGTCTGATACGGCCAGCTGAGCGTGACCAGGTCCTCACAAGCAGACTGACAATCTGTCACCATCAGCAGCAGGTAGCCAGCTTTCTATAACCCGACTATTAACACCTCGGTCTTTACTTTGGATCTTCTCTCTGATCCACACAACATTTTCCTGTGCAAGGTGTTAGACCAGCTGTTAGAAGCCATTATGTAACATAATTGAGACAAACACAAAGGCGATTAAATGCAGCACCATCACTCACTGGTTTCACGGAGCCTCCAGCCATCCATCGATTCACTGCCCTCAATCAGTGATCTCTCTCTGAACCTGATCTCATTTTCCTCCACCTCCCCAGAGGACTGGTACGGGCCTGTGAACTTGTAGGTGTTTGAGCGATTGCACATTTGCCATGTGTGTGTGTGTGCATGTGTGTGCATGTGGGGGTTCATTTATCAGGGCTAGCTTAGGTTAATAAGGTTCCTAATCAACTTTTTATTATTAGCACTGTTATTTTGCAGCACCTCGTTGTAAATCTCATCCTTTCATGGCTCCACTCTGAATCTCAACAGTGGTGCTTTTCTTTACAAACACTGGTTAAAGTGGCTTGTTACTGTTGTTTGGTTAAGATCTTCATTGATTTCTGCATTCAGGTCTCCAGTTCATTATTTTAGCAATGACATACTTTTTGTTATCAAAGAAGTTAGTTTTATTTTCTTCAGAAATGTCACAGAAAGGATCTGAGAACAGCCGTTTCACAGTGGTCTCCGCTTTAAAGAGTCAAAGAAAATCTAATATGAACTTGTAAGTAACAGGTTTAGATAGAAGTAGCTTCAGATATTTTAAAGAAAAGGACATTATTCGCACAATCGTCATTAATGTACAGACTACATCCTAGATGGACCAAAGTGTGGTGAAGAGGTCCGCTGCAGGCATTCAGAAATCACACATGCAGTCAACATCAATCACAAATCCAAACAATATCAATGAGCTGGGAGAAACAAGTGGAGGAGTTGAAGTATCTCGGGGTCTTGTTCTCGAGTGAGGGAAAGCTGGAGCGTGACATCGATAGGCTGATTAGTGGCGCATCTGGAATGATGCGGGCGTTGTACCGATCTGTCGTGGTGAAGTTCCTACCCTCAGCTATGGTCATGGGTGTCTGGGCTCTTTCTTAGAGATAGGGTGAGAAGCTCGGTCATCATGTAGGGGCTCAGATCTGCTGCTCCTCCACATCAAGAGAAGCCAGTTGAGGTGGCTCGGGCATCTGGTTAGGTTTGCCTCCTGGACGCCTCCCTTGTGAGGTTTTCTGGGCACGTCCAACCGGGAGGAGACCCGGGACACGCTGGAGGGGCTATGTCTCTGCTGGCCTTGGGATTCCCCCAGAGGACTTGGCCCAAGTAGCTGGGGAAGGGGAAGTCTGGGCCTCTCCGCCTAGGCTGCTGCCCCCGTGGCCCAACTCCGGATAAGCAGATGATAATAGATGGATTGATGGATGGATTTGCTTTTTTTAGGTTTGAATATTCGAGTTTCAAGAGATCCCAGTTTGGCATGCACCTAATGTTTCACAATTTTAAATATTTAAATGTACACAAGGTTGATCTCAGTTCCACAGAAGAATTCAAGACTGAGACAGACTATAATTTGGCATCCAACCTAACCACTGACGTGTAAATAAATGTGTTTTGTTACACGGCAGCAAACTGTATGGTTAGAATTATTCTATTGCATCATGTTATTACTGTGGTACAAGCGGCACACAGAGGGTGTTCTTGACATTATTCTGACCAGCACAGTGAGGAGCAGTAACTCCATGCAGAAAAGCTTCTTGTCAGAATGTTGGTGGAACTGAAAAAGGAAGAACGTTAACAGGAAGCAGTGATTTGGTGCTTCTTGTTCCACCACAGAAGGAGATTCATGAAAAAAATCTAAATGACTTGAGTCAGACATGATTGGCTGGACTGTACCATTATAGCATTTGGCTGATCGAGGTCATATTTGGAGTTTAATTGATGTGCCAGATTCAGCTGAACGTTTGATTGGTGTTGGTTTTAAAAGGAGTAGAGGGGGAGAAGGAGGAATGACTGATAGAAAATCTTCTAGCTGGAGCTTCAAGCTAAATCATTTCCTTAGATTAAAGCTCATTATAGTTTAAAAATAGATTTATTACTTTCAATTAAGTATTCATCAGACTTTTGACTTCTTTCTTGAATAAAACAGTTCTTTCTGCATTTATTACTTGTTGCCACAAAATTATATTTGAAGATATTTCAAGATCATTATTACATGATTTGTGATGAAAAACTGCACATATATTACAGCTATTTTTCTTTGACTGGATATAGGAATTTTCCTATGTGTTTCGTAACTGCTTTACTTGGTTCTTTTTTAATACAGAAAAAGTTGTTTCTACCTTTTACCTTTTTTTCTGATACTGCTGTGGCCTTCTTCAGAGCGCCGCTGTTGTTTTTCCTTCTCTGTTTATTAGCGGGCGGCAGAGGGTGATATAGTCCTCTGCTGCCCGCGCTCTCCTCGCCGGTCATGGTTGTGTGTTCAGGTCACCTTATTTCTATGGCTTCCTTAATCCATCTCTTGTATATTTGTTGTACGGTGTCCGGACAACAAAGGATGAATTAAGGAAGCCATAGAAAAAAGAAAACCTGGACACACAACCATGACCAAGAGACAATGGGGTCTACACATTGGATCACACATGAGACTGTGTGCACGGGCAGCACACACACACACACACACACACACACCCACACACACACACACACACACACACACACACACACACACACACACACACACACACACACACACACACACACACACACACACACACACACACACACACAATTGTCACAGTCTTGGGTGACTAGGGTTGGGTATCGTTTGATTTCGAACGATTCTGATTCCAATTCCTCTTTTCGATTCCGGTTCCAATCAATTCCCGATTCCGATTATTTCAAGGCATGACATGTTTTACATGAGCCAGCTAACCACAGGTCCTACTTGATGAAATAATCTTAACTTCCACATGAATTTTAACTCTATGAACAACAACATCACCTTCATTTAGACAAAAACATGTTTTGGAGACAAAAAGAAAAAGACTTGCAGCACAACCAGTGTGTTTGTTTCTGACCACGACCAAAGTCTGGAGGAAGCCTCTGGGATGAGAGGCTAAATGTCTCCAACATATCCAGAAACGTCCAGCTGTATTCAGCTAAAACTCTCAGGATGATCACGTCCAGGAAGACTGAGAACTACACCTCCAAGCTGCAGCAGCGTTCAGTCAGAGCAGAAAGTGAAACTTAAATGTAGCTGGCTGCGTCTGACTGCTGATGCTCTGTGTGTGTTTTTATTTCTGCAGTGAGACAAACTCACCTCACACCGTCCAGAGTTTGTTCTTTAAAGCTTCTACTAAATCCACCGTGTTGACGTATTTAACAAGTTTCCTCTACGCTGCAGGAGTTAAAGTTTATGGTAAGGAGTAAAAGTTAGGCAGACGCGTTTGTTTATATCTGGGTGGGGGGTGGGGGGGACTTGTGCTGCACACAGACAGCTGGTGTGATCAGCTCTGAAAAGCGTTGTTCACAATTTGCAGATCACGTTTATTTTTCACGAACATCAGCCGCGGATTCCTCTTCCGTCGGCATTCTAGGAATTGAAACTAGGAATCGAAAGAAAAAAAAACTTTGAACGATTCTGGGAAAATCTAACAGTTGGAACCGGTTCCAATCGATGCTCCATGCCCGACCCTAGTGACAACGTGCTCTGATGGCCGCAGATAATCGGAGAAGGAAGTGATGCCGCCAACAGCAGCTAGCTCTGAAGAAGACCGCAGCAGTGATCGAAACGTCAACAAAAACGGGTATGATAGGTATTTTTTAATTGTTCATCTTTGTTGTGAAGTTACCTCACTCTTAGGAAAAGTACGGACCCAAATACGTTCGTACGTCTTCAGCACCTCCTCTCTGCTTTAGGCATTTTGTTCCATTATTTGAGGCCAAACCAGCCAAACCAAGGGGTTTCTGCCAGACCAAGAGACTTGTTTATCTAGTATCTGAAGAAATCCTTTGTCCTGTGCATTCTAAGACCAAGGGAGTTTTTTGTGGATGGGTGTGTTTGTGCCAATAAATACTCGCTGCAGTTTTCAACTGATTGTGAGAGGAAAATGGCTTCCGTGTTGTACGGTCTGATTCTTTCTCACCCTTTGCAGAGTTTGTTGACTGTTTAAAGGTTTGTTACAATTTACCAAATTAAGAATCTAATCCCTCTGTGTGTGTTCTGACTTCCTTTAAGCTCATATAAGAACAATATAAATTAAATTACCTAACAGGGTAAAAACCACTCTGTGTTAAAAATAATTCTAACTGAATGCAAACATTAAACAGCACAGTGACCTGCACAACCAGTTCTCACTATTAATGTCATGGCATTGTTGTTGTCCAAAAATCAAATGCAAACCCGAGTCATCTCTGGTGTATTTCACACTCTAAAGAATGAAGTAAAAAAAAAAGTGCCTTCCTACTTGAAGCTAATACCAGTTTGCTTTTTACTTGTTACACTCAGCCTTGTCTCATTTGTATGCTCCCTTAAGAACACGTTGCTCCCTCTACTGTCTTTTTTCATGTCTACTCTTCACAGAATAGCTCAAATGAACAAATGCAGCTCTGAAAATCTTATTGACTTTCAGATGCAAAACACAATTGTGTGATCTGCAAGGTCGGATTCAGTGAGATCAGTGAAATCTGGTCCCAGCAGATTGCTGTGTCATGCACATTGAGCTCCGTCTTACAAACGTGGCATAAAATATTTGAGAAGCAGATGCAGAAAGGTGTTTCCAGGAATCTGCAGGTGCAACGAGCAGCTTTAAATCTTCATTCAACACCTAAATCCCCATCATACAAATCTGACTAACTTGAAATGTGTTGCAGCTGCATAAGCCACCAGTGGTTCTGCCACCCAGCAACACTGTCATGATGGCAGCGAGGTGTCCACGGACAAACATGGTCACAGTCGGACGTCTTAAATTTGTTAAAGCATATGTAACAGAAAATTCCCTAAAAACCCAGTCAGATGTAGTTGTTCCTGTGAAGTTACATGTAGAATTGTTATCTTGACACGTGTTTAGCATCCATTAAATATCGGTCCAATGGCAACGTGGTGTCCATGGCCAAAATGGTCTTGGTAGGTGGCTTTACAGTTTTTCTCAATTGCTATAACACTAAAATCCATTGCCTGAAGAAAGTTCTCAGTTGCTTGAACTCATTAAGCTAACTGTTGAGCCTGTTGTCAAAACCTTAAGCCATTTCACACGGTTTAGCAAAACTCTAAACACATTCTCATTCTTAAAACACATTCTGCACTCTAATGTACATGTCGTCCATAACGGTAAACACAAGTGGCACACATGTACCCATAACAAGAGCACAAATGTCATTGATTGAACACAATCAGTCAAAATAGATTTCACTTGTTTCAAATGATGTGACAACCACTATAAGCAAGTTCAGAGAGCAAACAGGTTGTTGAAGGTGGGAATGAGAAAGTGTGACAATGGATAGAAGAATTCATGTGAGAGGACAAGGACGAGTGTGTATGCGAGGTGGGGGATGAGGAGGAGGGCAAGAAAGAGAAAGAGGAGGGTGAAGAGGAAGAGCAAGACAAAGAGTGGAAATATCCGATTAAATTTGAGCAACACTGGACTGGCAGACCGGGGTGGTGGTCCCCTTATTTAAAAAGGGGGACCGCAGGGTGTGTTCCAACTACAGGGGGATCACACTCCTGAGCCTTCCTGGTAAGGTTTATTCAGGGGTCCTGGAGAGGAGGGCCCGTCGGATTGTTGAACCTCAGATTCAGGAGGAGCAATGTGGTTTTGGTCCTGGCCGTGGAACACTGGACCAGCTCTATACCCTTAGGGGGATCCTGGAGGGTGCGTGGGAGTTTGCCCAACCAGTCCACATGTGTTTTGTGGATTTGGAGAAGGCGTTTGACCGCGTCCCTCGGGGGGCCCTGTTGGGGGTATTCCGGGAGCATGGGGTACCAGACCCTCTGATACGGGCTGTTAGGTCCCTGTATGACCGGTGTCAGAGCTTGGTCCGCATTGCCGGCAGTAAGTCGGGCTCATTCCCAGTGAGAGTTGGGCTCCGCCAAGGCTGCCCTTTGTCACGATTCTGTTCATAACCTTTATGGACAGGATTTCTAGGCGCAGCCAAGGTGTGGAGGGCATCCGTTTTGGTGGCCTGAGGATCAGGTCTCTGCCTTTTGCAGATGATGTGGTCCTGCTGGCTTCATCAGAACGTGATCTTGAGCTTTCGCTGGAGCGGTTCGCAGTCGAGTGTGAAGCAGCTGGGATGAGCATCAGCTCCTCTAAATCTGAGACCATGGTCTTGATTCGGAAAAGGGTAGAATGCCTTCTCCGGGTCAGGGATGAGGTCCTGGCCCAAGTGGAGGAGTTTAAGTATCTCGGGGTTGTTCACGAGTGAGGGAAAACTGGAGCGTGAGATTCATCAGCGGATTGGTGCTGCGTCTGCAGTGATGCGGGCGTTGTACCGGTCTGTCGTGGTGAAGAGAGAGCTGAGTCAGAAGGTGAAGCTCTCGATTTACCGGTGGATCTACGTTCCTACCCTCACCTATGGTCATGAGCTTTGGGTAGTGACCGAAAGAACGAGATTGCGGATACAAGCGGCCAAAATGAGTTTTGTCCAAAGAGTGGCTGGGCTCTCCCTTAGAGATAGGGTGAGAAGCTCAGTCATTCGGGAGGGGCTCGGAGTAGACCCGCTGCTCCTCCACATCAAGAGGAGCCAGTTGAGGTGGCTCTGGCATCTGGTCAGGATGCCTTCTGGACGCCTCCCTGGTGAGGTTTTCCGGGCACGTCCAACCAGGAGGAGACCTAAAGGTAGACCCAGGACACGGTGGAGGGACTATGTCTCTCACCTGGCCAGGGAACGCCTTGGGATTCCCCCGGAGGAGCTGGCCCAAGTGGCTAGGGAGAGGGAAGTCTGGGCCTCTCGCCTCAGGCTACAGCCCCCACGACCCGACTCTGAATAAGCGGATGAAAATGGATGGATGGATGGAATTTGAGCAACAATCATAGACCATGTTGTTGTCCATGGGCTGACATTGAGGGAAGCAGGACTTAGAGTGCAACCCAATTTGAGCCTCAGGAGGGAAAATATTGCATGTGATGTTGATGAAGTGCTGTAGCCTGACCCAGCCTACAGACAAGAAGAGGCCCTTTGATAACATGTTTAGTGCTTTGATTTTTTTTCATTTCATGTTTTTTTTTCACTGTCATTGAACACTGTAGCAGAATGGACTGCAGGCTGTAAATGGTACAATAAACAAATTGTATGTTTTTGAAAGTGAGTTTATCATGGGTCCGTTATCACCAAATGGCATCTGAGCACCAGGATGTAATCACTGATCAGAAAGGACTTGCCTTGACTCCCACACATGTTTTTTTATTTCATTAAAATTAATTTTATGTTATTTTTCATTAATCTTGATGGATTGGGGGACTCATGTCTAAGCGCTGAGGTCAATATTAATTCAGTAGGGTGGGGTGGAAGAAAACTATTGTTGAAATCTGAGAAAGCCTTTAATATATATTTTAATGCTTTACATATATTCTTGCTTAAGTGAATTCAACGTGAATTTTGCAAAACTAGTTTTAGATCAAATGGCTTCAGAAAAGAAGCCAGCAAGAAATCAAGTAAGAAACACATGAGAGAAAGTGGGAGTTTTTCTGTGACTTTCTTTACATCAATGTGAGAAAAGGTGGGAGGATAACAAATATTCAGACAGAGTCTGAATATCAATAAACTGGCTTGTCACCATGCTTGGTTCCCTTATGCTATACTTAGCTGAAGTAGAAAACGTGTTTGCTTTGTAAGTAAAGTCAGTTTTTGCATCGGGTGTGTTGTGTGACCTTATCTTTAAATTGCATCTTTTTTTTTTTGTAGAAACCTGCTTTGTGACAGAAAAAAGTATACTTTATACATTCCTATCCAGCCAATGAGAGACAGTCTCTTTTGGCTTCACTTAAAAAACAACATGTGACCTCAAATGAGCTCATAAAGGAGGGGAGAAAAGGAGGTCAGTTTTTGTGGTTGTTGTCCTTTTGATCTGATGAAAGAGTCCACCAATAGAGGGAGCTATTTATGTTTCTATTATCTGGAGTAGAGCCACCTGTTGTAAACCTATGGTGATGAATGTTTGTGTTGAAATAAAATAAATGACAAAAATTGGCATTTTCATCTGCAGCAGCCTGTTGATGTCATCTGCTGCTGACACAATCAAACTGCTGGTTGGTCGTGTGTTTCACTTGAGTGGGCGAGGACGTCTGCTGCATCGGTGCCACTGTAAGTGTGTGTTTTTGTGCGTACTTACTCTCCACTGTGAGTGTGTGTTTTTGTGCGTACTTACTCTCCACTGTGAGTGTGTGTTTTTGTGCGTACTTACTCTCCACTGTGAGTGTGACTGGCTGACTGGTTTTGTTCTCCCCGTTCTTGTCATTGACTGCTTGGGCGTAGTAACGTCCTGCATCTGGGGCTACCGTGGACAGGATGACCAGAGTGTTGTCCAAAGTGATGGCGCTGAACAGACGAATAAACACAAGCGTGAAAAAAAAGCATTATTTTGTATCACGAGCAATAAAGTCCTCTCTCCACTGCAGTTCCATAATAACTGCAGCGATATGATACCGGGACAAACGAGCTCCCAAATGAGCTGCACGCAGACATCAGAGTCAACCGTTTGGATACAATTAAACAAACCTACAAGAAAAGAAACCCGTACTTAAACCCACTCAGATCATTAAATTAGGGAGTCCTTGTTTCTTACAGTGATTGAGTCCTGAAGAAAACAGACACACGTATGCACATAAATCACAAGAAGCTGTGCACAAACATATTTTCATCATTAGTTCCATCTGCAACTTTCTCTTAAGACAAGACCAAATTTGTAGAGCAGAAAAGTCTTTGTCATTTTGTTTTTGATTAGTCAAATGTTTCTTTGCACATTTCTTCTGTCTGGGTTTTGCTCTTTGAAGCAGTTGGTTTTGGTTAGATGGATATTTTCAGCAGAAGCTAAGATAAAAATACGGTAACACTTTGCAGTAATGGTGCATTTATTAACGTTACTTAGTGCACTATTAAGCAATGATAAACAATTAAATTAAACAATAACAACTGCTTAACATAAATTGTAATATTAAGTAGTTCATTATTAAGCAGGAACCCCCGACACACACACACACACACACACACACACACACACACACACACACACACACACACACACACACACACACACACACACACACACACACACACACACACACACACTGACCCTTTGTCCTAACCTTTAAAGTGACAATGTGTATTTTCCCCTGGTGGCAGTACATACCTAAATAACTGAAAGCAAGCAGTATCGTTGTGTTGGAGTAAGACCTTACCCAAGGATGACCATTAGGGTCAAAAATCCCTGGGAGTGCAACCTCCAGCAAAATGACCAGCAGATCAGACTCCCTTCAATCACTGGCAACGAGTGAAGAGGTAAACACGTAAAACAACAATGTTTACAAATGGCGAAATTACTGTAACGGTTTGTTATAATCATTAAATGCATTTTGTCCACAAGGGCTTCCGTAGAAGGTAACACTGCATCTGATATGGCGTCGCCCAGAGACTTAAGAGTCACTCCCATGTATTTTAGACTGGATTTTTATGGTTATATGTTACTAATATTTCTTAACAACTGGGCATCATTTAATTTATTTTCAACAACATTTCAATGGATATTTCCGGAGATTAACTGTAAAAACTACACATAGTCTCTTTAGGGACACTTAATATTGATAATGAAATTAAAGGGATCCGTTGTTTATCAATGCTTAATAATGCACTTAGTACCATTAATAAATTAACCCTTACTGTGAAGCGTCACCAAATATATTGTTCATTTGATAGCATGCTTAACGTTTCTAAGTTTGTTCTACCAGAGATTAATGTTGTGGTCAAAGTTCATATTGGAGCAAACTGTAAGAGATAAAGTACAGTTAATTACTTCATTTTGAATACTTGCCAGTACTGAATACCAATATGAGCCATTACACTCCTTGCAAAAAAGTAAAATTGTTAAATGTTCATGGAAAACTTCATTTTACAGAATTAACCCCATTTAGAGGTTTTCTAGCGCTAAAATAATATTTTACACAAGATATGGGTCACAGTTTCATAAACAAAGCCTAGAGTGTTCACTAATTCATTTTAAATTGTCCATAGGCACACAATGCCAAAGTCTTAATCTGGTTACGTCGCTCTTGTTCTTTTATTTGATGTCTTGGATTTAAGCAGTTTCCTCGGCCAAATATTTCACCTTTGACTTTTTTGTGACGTCATTTTACTTGGGGATACCAACTGACTGTTTACAACCATGAAAAGTCAAAAACAAGCCAGTTTGTGGCCCTATAATGCTTTAATTTTGTTGGTTTTACTGTAAGATAGTAACCGTTTACTGCACGGTTGGCTGCACTAACAAACAAGTGTGTAAACCCAACTTGTCGCTTTATTGAATAACATTGTTGGAGACAGAAGACGGCGACGGACAGCAACAGTCAACCAAACAAACTAGCAGCCCTCAAAGGACGTTTGGCTTTGCAGCAATGATGAACAAGTGAACACTGTTTATCACATAATGTTATAAATCCAGCAGAGTGAATTCTGGTGAAGTCAGCAGCTTGTTTACATTGGTGAACAGCAGCACGGAGAACATAGGCTAACGTTTGTAAGCTAGCTAACATTTAACATTCGTAAACACCACTCTATCTGAGCCCTGCCTAGATGTGCTAAACCCTCCCACAAGTGAACTGGACTTGTTTATGTTTATGAATTTAGCAGACACTTTTGTCCAAAGCCACTTACAGGTGATAATGAAGCCAGCAGGTTGCCCTTGAGGCTAAGAACAAACACTATTCAGTCAGTCCTAGGTGGCGGTGAGGCAGCATAATGAATAATAATAATAATAATAATAATAATAATAACTAGAACTGCAAGCAGTTATCAACAGGTTCCAAGCCAACCAGCGCCAGTCCCCCACCTAGCCCCACCCTCATCTTCGCCATTCCTCACGCTGTCCCGCCCCAAAAACACGTTCTCCCGCCGGCGTCCCGTCAGCTCACTTCAGCCGGCGCAGTGAAAGTAACACTCAAGATACATCATTAAACGTCTTGCACAGCCTATACACAAATCTTTCACAGGCATGGCTGACTTCTCAATCGTGATTACTATGGAATTCCACTGTTTCCTTTTTAAAGAATGTGAAGATTTAATGAGTGAAGTCATGAGAAATCAGGTTTTGTCATTTTATTGAATCTAAATTAAATGCTTTTTCAAAAAATAAATATATGGAGATGTACAATTAAACTGACCGAAACAGTTTGGGAGCTAGTAGCTGAACTGCATTCACCTCTGCAATAGCGCCACCTAGGTGACTCAGGGTCCAAATTTTCGAATCTGAGTAGCGGTCAGGATTTTCTATCAGACTGCCATGTCAGATTTTTTCTGGAAATTTCAGGCTCCTGTGCCCATACAGTATTAGCGGAGAAGAATAATAAATAATAATAAATGACAAATAATAAATAATGAAAAATCCGTAGAAAAGCAATAGGGTTCCCTGCCCGTTGGGCTTGGAACCCTAATGAATGAATGAAAGAGGGAAGCGAACATGGAGTGTGCAGTAGAGTGTAGGACGGTTGCAGGGAGGGTCCAGAACAGCAGGGTCTTCAGGAGTTTCTTGAAAATCAACAAGGAAGCCCCTGTTCTAGTAGTACTTGGTAGGTAGTTCCACATCTGTGGAACGACACATGAAAAGAGTCTGGATTGTCCTGAGCGTGGTGTAGGCACTGCTAGCTGACGGAATCCTGATGACCGGAGCGGCCGGGCTGTGAAGTAAGACTTTCCAAGAGGATTCAGGTATAGGAGCCGTCCCATCCAGGACTTTGTATGCTAGTGCTAGCGATTTGAATGTGATGTTCAACCTCCTTACAGATCCTTCCTGTGGCCCTTGTGGTTCACAGCCCCAGCAACAAGGAAACTCAGGTTAAACTGACAGTACAAGATGTCTGTAAGGGGCCTAATAAATCAAAGCTGACACTAAGCATGCAGCCAGATTAGTCTGGTCACATATCTGCCACCACCTGTTTGAATGGTGTGGAATGAACCCTTCTGGACAATTAGGAACTTCAGCTGTCAGAGTCACAGAAACTTCGACAGGCCAATACCAATAAACACACACACACACACACACACACACACACACACACACACACACACACACACACACACACACACACACACACACACACACACACACACACACACACACACACACACACACACACACACACACACACGCACACTAGATGCCCTTTCATCATCAAGCAGCAAAGTTTTAGCAGCTTTACTGTTTCTAGAGCAGCAAATGTTCCATCCTTGGACCGTTACTGTTCTCCCTCTATGTTCTGCCTTTAGGAGCACTTTTTAGACAGCATGCAGGTTTCTGTCACCTATATGCAGACATTTGTCAAATCTAATTTTCTCTCAAGCTGACTGACTCTTCTATCGTTATATTCTTAACGTCAGTGGCTGGCTGAAAACGTTCTCCGTCTAAACGACTACAAAACTGAGGTAATTGTTTTCAGTCCGGATAATGTTAGAGCAGCTCCGTCAACAGACCTCCACTCTTCTCCTCTCATGTGACCTCGGGTGTTTCTAACCTAGCATTGAACCACCTATCAGAACCACCTTCCTCGTGCCCTGAGGTCTGAGGATCAGCTCCTCCTCACGGTTCCTAGGGCACGCTTGAAGTCCGGCGGTGACAGGGCCTTCTCTGTATGTGCACCAAAACTATAGAGCTCGCTGCCCCTCCAGGCTAGGCTGGTGCCTTCAAACACACTTTTTTCTCTCTGGCTTTTAACTCCTAAATCTGGTTTTAGTATCAAGTCTATAGTGTTTGCAAAAACATTTGCCAAATGTTGCCAAACTAGTAGACGTGGGAGTGTCTCACGCAGGTCATTTTTGAACCAGTTAGGACAATGTCAAGGTCATGGTCAAGTTTATTTCTAAAGCGCACTTATTATTGCTTCTGCAACCCAAAGTGCTCTACATGAAACACTCAAGATGAACATAGCAAGACAATAAAATTACTAAAACATAAAACCATAAATAAGCAACAAGTTCAAATAAAACAACATTATATCAGACAATTAATAAAGGTTGATCAAATTAAAGAATAGAATGACAGAAAATCCTCCTACATTAAAGGCCAGGTTGAAGAAATGAGTTTTAAGCAATGACTTAAAAGCATCCACATTTAGGGAGGTCCTCATCTGCAGAGGAAGGCTGTTCCAGAGTGTAGAGCCAGCCACAGAAAATGCCTCGTCTCCTCTTGTTTTAAGGCCAGCTTTTGGAATGGATAACAAGGACTGTGAGCCAGACCTCAAACTCCTGGCAGGAGAGTAGGTTGACAACAAGTCATCTAAATAAGGAGGGGCCAGACTGTGAAGGGATTTATAAACGAAAAGCAATTATTAAAACTGAATCCTGAAATGAACTGGTAGCCAGTGAAGGGAGGCAAGCACTGGAGTGATATGATCATGCTTCCTTGATCCTGTTAAAAGGCAGGCTACTGCATTTAGAACCAGTTACAAGCAGTTTAGGGAGGAATGCTCTAAGCCATATTAAAGGGAATTGCAGTAGTCCAGCCGACAGGAGACAAACAGATGAATAACATGTTCAAAGACAGTTAGCAGCAGATAACACTTAACCTTTGCAAGTTGCCTCAAGTGTTAAAAGCTACAATGGACTAGTGCACTTTTCTGTCAGTACATTTTAAATGAACCATCCATAAAACCCCAGGTTTTATTTACATGAGGCTTTACAAAGTCTGAAAAGGGACCAAGTGGGCTCACAGCACCCTTTAACAGGTCTTCACTGCCAATAAATACAATCTCTGTTATCGGGTCATTCAATTTCATAAAATTATCCATTGCTTCACATCTGCTAAGAAGGCCATTAAGGAAACAGCTGAATTTGGGAAGAGTGGAAGATGTATCTGAAGTTCATCAGCAAAGCAATGAAACGTAATGTTGTGTCTGATGAAGATGGGGAACAATGGTAAAATATATAGTGAAAAAAGGGTTGGTCCTAAATTGGAACCTTGTGGAACACCACAAGTCACAGGGCTTCAGTTTTCAATCAATCAATCAATCAATCAATCAATCAATCAATCAATCAATCAATCAAACTGTATTTATACAGCACTTAATCATGCAATAAATGCAACTCAATGTGCTTAACAAATTAAAAAGGCCCCGCATACCCACATTCCCTCCCATCCCCAAAAATTTAAAAACAGTCTTGACGTTAAAACCCCTTCACAACACTCATCCTCCAGCACACACACACACACACACACACACACACACACACACACATGCACATGCACAAACAGCCCCCCCATGTCGTGTCTTCAGGCTATCTTCATAAATCAGTGAGGACACTATGTAATGTAATACCGTCATGCTTGTGATGTTTTATATCTATAGGTCCTCCTAAAAACAGTAAAAATGTACAGAGAAAACATTCTTGTTCACTCTTTTACGGCAAGCTTTTTTATCATTTATTTATTTTTGAAAGTTAAGTAAAAGGATGTAAACTCAGTCAGTTTAGCAATCTTTAATTTGACTTTGTTTAGTCCTCATAATGGACAATAAGTTATGTGAATTTGGAAATATTTGCTCTTGACTGCCTAAGGGATACAGAATATATTAGGGGAACATAATTTCCCACAACACCTGCTTCACGTGGATCATGGTGTGCTTAATGTAAACAAACTGGCTGCCACTACCAGCTAAATGTGGCTCAAAGTTGGCATAGTGTAGATGGATATCACTAGCTGCCTGTTAGCCATAGCTAGAGCCAGGAGACATGCTGTGTGTGCTGTGCGTAAACTCCCATGAATTACCAGCCAAAGGAGACCCAAGTCTAAAGTTAACGTTTGAGAAGAAGCCCTCAGAGATGCACATCATCTCTGCAACGCGTGGAGAACTACATCGATGTTAGTAAAGGGCTTTGGGAGATCCAGTAAGCAATGCTGATTTGGCCACTGACTAGCGGACAAACACTGGAGCGTGTTGGAAGAGATGGCAGACTGTGGGATGAGAGTAGACTTGAGTAGAAGGACTTTGGAATGGACACGTTGGGACCAGATCAGTAGTTCTGCATCCGTGTCACAGATGGACTGGGGTGCCCCAGGGCTCGGTTCTGGGTCGACTCCTTTTTTCTTTATATATGGCTTGCATTAGGATGTTTTTAGAAAATATGGGATTCTCATTCTTATGCGGATGACCTGCAGGTGTACAAGTCAATACCTGTTAATAGTGGCTGTCTCTCACAGGATTTATTAGACTGTCTTAATGATTTACAGGCATGGTTTGACACAAACTTATTGAAACTGAACGATAGAAAGACGGAGATCATCATTTTCGGCTCCGCTACTGCACTGTCTAACCAAAATTGTAGCCTCAGAGACCTTTCCTCTTATTGTCATCGCACAGTCAGAAATCTGAGGGTTATTTTGGATTGGAACCTAACTGTTGTGGATCAGATCAGTGAAGTGGTGGTCTTGTTTCTTCCAGTTGATGCTGCTCTGTAGGACTGAGGCCTATGTTCCTATGGGTGTTTTTGCTTCTTTTATCCATGCCATAATTACTTCTAGGCTGGACTATTGCTCTATATGCTGGCCTGCCTCAGTCGGTAATAGGTTGCCTACAGAATGTTCAAATTGCAGCAGCATGCCTTCTCAAAGGAGCAAGAAAAATGATCATATCACCCCTGTACTGGCAAATCTCCACTGGAGTCCTGTTAAGTTTAGGAGTGAATTTAAGATATCGCTGCTTGTTTTTAAATGTTTGCATGGTTTAGCTCCCTCTTATCTGTGTGACCTGATCGATCTGTATGTACCGTCCGGGAGGCTCAGATCAGCAGATCTCCACCTATTAGTGACACGCAGATTTATCTTAAAAATTAAGGGTGCTAGAGCCTTCTCTGCAATAGCTCCTGTCCTGTGGAAAAGTCTTCCCTTGGATGTGAAGACATCTGATTCCTTGTTCTCTTTTAAATACACCTAAAAACACATCTGTTTGCTTTGGGATTTCAGCGATGACTTGTGGCTGCTGGTTTTCTTCTTCCTTTTATTTCTTTTATTTTTGGTTTTTAATCATTTTAAATGATTCAATTTATTTTGTGAGCATTTGTAATTTATGCTATGCATTTCATCTTGGTTGTTTGTGATTTTAACTTTTTAATTTTTAGTTAGTTTTTATGACATTAATCTTCCCATTTTCTGCTAATGTTAGGGTTAGGGTTGCTATCTATATGTGCCATACAAATAAACTTTGACTTGACTTTCAGGTAACAGTCAAAGTGCTACTGAACTGTATTGTAAGATGGTGGATGACCATGGAGCATCGACCACAGTTTATGTATTTAAAAATGTAAAATTTCAAGCTGAGAGGAATATTTAGAATTGATTTTGGTGAGAAATATTAATTAAAAAGGACAAGTTTGTGAACTGGAAACAGGATTTACAGTAAACAGGTAAAATATTCCTTACTGGGGCTTTAACAGTACTTTCTAATGTTATAATTTAGCTGGTTTATTTTTCACTTGATTGCGTGCACGTGCACATGCATGGATTAGATGAAGGGGCGTGGCATTGTAAAAGGTGACACACACACAGCGCTTTGGTCAGCTGTTTTAAAAGAGCTTAACAAATAAAATGGTATGGTACATGTGTCGTTAGCAGCTCTGGAGTTGGGCAAACAAAGAAAGTGGCTTTGATATTTTTACAGCAAATTCTCCCAGATTTATCTAAGTGCTTAGGGTTTCTTGCAAGAAAACTTTTTCCACTAATCTATAACTCAAAAAAACAACAACTCAACTCTGGGTGAAAGTCTTCATAGCAGCGATGACATACTACAGCCTGCTGCTGAATTATAAATGGAGGTGGTTTCTGAGGACTCATGGACTGCCTACTTCTATTTGTCAGGATGGTAAAATTAATCTCAGGTGATTACCTTCAGAGTGTCGCCTCAGGAAAACTGCATATCTGAAAAGGCAGGAGTCCAGCAAACAAAAATGAAGCTACCACTAAAACTTACAAACTAAGAATATCTCATGTAGTCATGCAGTCACCCCGTGAACCCCACCCTCACAAATGTACATCCAATCTGAGACAGACTGGTATCACATGCACAATTACGCACATATAAACCCAACAGGGTTGAAGGCTGTCACTCAGTCATATCATCAGTTGAAGCCCTTTGTCGAATTTTGTCTAATTGGTTCCCCTGCTGCCTGATCCATCTCTACCCTTCCATCATTTTGCCTGTGAAGACAATAGGGGCATATAATACCCACTTCATTACTGCGTGGGGATTCAGTGATGAACACAAGGCTAGTGCCAACATCTGGGGGGGTAAGAAGAATCTGTGAGTGGGGTTGAGCTTCTTTATAGAGTTCTCTGATGAAAAAGAAGTTCTGCTTCAGCATGAACATGCACACATGGGTCAAGCCTTCGCTAAAACCCCAGGAACCCAACTTGGGTGAACTTACATTCGGCTGCTTGATTGAATCTTGCGCCCGTCTCTGAACCAAGTTATCTGAGGCTTTGGGAAGCTGTGTATCCGTGGTGCCTGGAGGAGAGCACCCTCGCCCTGAGAGACAGTTTGAGACCTTTCACCTTCTACAAAACCACCCATATCTAGCAGACATGATGAATGATTGGGAGGGGAAGGGGTGGGGGGTGGTGGTTTGGGGGGGGGGGGGGGGGGGTACAACAGGAAAAGAGAAAGAAAATAAAGAATTTGTATCTTTGTAAATATTCTTCCACACAAAAACTAAAACATGCAAGAGCACCAGCACTTACATGCAACCTGCACTTGGGTGCTGCACTGCATTATGGCACCCACTCGGTTTCTCACGATGCAGCGGTAGTGGCCAGCATGTGAACGGTCTAGCGAGGGGATCAGGTACCTAATGGGAAGAATAAAAAAGATGCAAGTGCAATTAGTCATCATCAGCGTGACAAACAGAAGCATTTGTTGTCCAGGTGCTTTTATCGCCCACACTAAAGATGCTAAATTAATTCAGAATTCATCTTCTGGCTCTTGGAGAGTACAGACACTTTTTTCTCCTCTCCCTCCCTCCCTCCTCCTCCCAAGGAACTCTGTCCTGTCTGCCTGTGCACGGTGCTTTCTGCATTTTTTCTGGAAACTGGAAATGATTAAACATGGATCTGTCAGTTGGTCTCTCAATGCGATTGACAACATTTTTTCAACAATGAGAACGGGAGAAAGGGCTCCCGGATGCCCCTCTGGGACAGAGCCAGCTGGGTATATCATGGACTCCTGGAAACAGTGAAACTTGATCTGCCTCTCTCAACTGTCTGTAGAGGATTCTGAAGATGTCTGGATATTCGTCATTTTGGTGTCGGGATTCCTGCTGTTTGGCCTGAGCGGTTACCTGGCTTACCGGAAAACTAACAAGCTTTTGAGGAATATTGTCTTAATCCCGGAGCTCAGGGATAGAATGCATCGTGCTGTAAACTCACACTCAGATAATTGTCGAAATGAGTCGTAAGCTTGGAACTTTGGCTGAGATTCAGGCTCTGGCACAGAAGGTGGATTCGATCAAGGAGAGCGTTGACAGATCAATACGGATTGGAATAGTTTGATTACGCTATTGTTGGACCTGGTGGGGTTGAAGACCAACAGAACTCTAAGGCAGAGAGGAAATGATCTCTATCTGTCCCCAAAACAATTCTTATCTGAATCTGGTGCCCTTGGAGCCTGTGAGGCTGAAGTGAAAACTCCCCCCTTAGAAGAAATGCGGAATGCTGCCGTCGCTATGGAAACCCTTTCTCCCTATCCCAGCCTGGGCAGGACTGTGACCGGTGAAGGCTGTGGAACCGTATCTAGGAGTCAATGTGCCCTCTAACCAAATTATCTCCCTCCCCTGTCCAAACGGAGGTGATGAGCGCTGCTCCTGCAGCTGCACGCTCTGAAGTGAGGAGAGTCCCAACCCTACCTCCCCACCTAGTGGACACTTATGTTGTGTAATGTCTGAAGTCTGTGTGCATCTCTCTCTGAGGTGTTTTTTTGCATAGCAAAGCTGCCCTCTCTGTCAGGGGTAACTCTGAAGTGCCTTTTTTCACTCCCCCTGACTCTATCCTCATATAAACCCTCTTGATCTATAATGGTAGCGCGACTCGTGTTGCGAATGACCACAGTCACCAATTCTTGTCACGTGTCTATGTATGTATGTCTGATCTCCGAATTGTGTGTACTGACACAACTGAATGTCCCTCTGGGATTAATAAAGTATTTTTGAATTGAATTGAAGACCTTTAACTGGAAACCTGAAACACAGTTAAACGGTGTTCCACTTAAAGATAAATACTCTAAACAACAACAAGTCACCACTAAAACCTAGCTGGGTGTGATGGTGGCTGATAGGAAGGGAACTGCAGGAAGGAGGGAGTATTTTTTACACTAGAACAGCTGAGATCCTGACAAGCAAGACTCACAAAACCCCATTGTTATCCTGTATCTTCAGCCTGTTCATTCAATCAAATCCTACAAGCACCTGTTACATGTTTCAGACAGACACCGCTCTGTCTCCTCGCCCCTGACATGTATTCATGTTAAATGGGCTGTGTGAAAAGCTAGCTTAGATAACCCAAACACTCAGTCCTGAATAGTTTCATTTTTTATTTCTGTAACCATGTGGGTGTCTGGCGTTTGCCACAGCCGTGAATCCCTGTTCTGCAATTCAGACGTGGGGGTTTTGGGTGATGTTGGGTGGGGGTCTGATTAAATGGTTTCCAGTTCTACTCTTTGATCAAGGCTGGTGAAGAATAATAAGCAGAGGGCTGGCCTGTGAGGCAGACCCAGAGACTATAAGCCACACGAGAGCAGTGAGATGCCGAGGGAAGACAGGAAGGGGAGAATGATGTGTGCGGGATGGAAAAAAAGACAGGGAAGGGATGCTGTGCGAGTGTGTATGTGTGATAGCAATGATAGCAATCAGACAATCCCCCCTAAGAGTACTTGTCTGTGTTTAGGGCTCTGGTCAGGCTGTGAATAAAGTCGTGAAAATGGGGTTCAAAATAAAGAGAAGGTGACTTTGACTCCCGACTTCCACGATGACTTGTGGGGGGACACTGATACCAAGGCACCTCGCCTTGATGTCTTCGCCCCGCCCCGGTTGCCTAGGAGATCTGTCATCAGGAACCGCCAAGGCGTGTTCCAATGTTCATGTTCTATCAAAGCGTGTGTTCTCTGTTTGTTAGCCGTTTAGCTAGCTGAGCGAGGATACACGGGAGGTGTCTTGTAGCCTAGCCTTGGTCAAACATTTCCCAGAATACACTGCGGTATTTCCAAAAGGACGGCGGATCTCCAATTTAAAACGTTTTTTTTTAGATCCAAACAAGTTATCTATGGTTGGTTAGTTGCTTAGTAGTTGCAGCTTCGGTGGCTAGCAGGTAGTAACTCACTTATATATTTAATTTAATAAACATATACACAATTTAAAAAGTAAAAGACTCATTATATATTTATATTGAGACTAATACGTATAAAATACACTGAACGAAAATATAAATGCAACACTTTTGTTTTTGCTCCCATTTTTCATGAGATGGACCTAAAGATCTAAAATTCATTCCAGATACACAATATTACCATTTCTCTCAAACATTGTTCACAAGTCAGTCTAAATGTGTGATAGTGAGCACCTGTGCTTTGCTGAGATAATCCATCCCACCTTACAGGTGTGCCACATCAAGATGCTAATCTGACATCATGAGTAGTGCACAGGTGTACCTTATACTGCCCACAATAAAAGGCCACCCTGGAATGTGCAGTTTTTTGCTTGTTTGGGGGTCTGGGGACTCAGAACCGGTCAATATCTGGTGTGACCACCATTCGCCTCATGCAGTGCAACACATCTTCTTCGTATAGAGTTTATCAGATTGTCAATTGTGGCCTGTGGAATGTTGGTCCACTCCTCTTCAATAGCTGTGTGAAGTTGTTGGATATTAGTGGGAACTGGTACATGCTGTCGTATACGCCGGTCAAGCACATCCCAAACATGCTCAACGGGTGACATGTCCGGTGAGTATGCTGGCCATGCAAGAAGTGGGACATTTTCAGCTTCCAAGAATTGTGTACAGATTCTTGCAACATGGGGCCATGCATTATCTTGCTGAAACATGAGGTGATGTTCATGGATGTACGGCACAACAATGGGCCCCAAAATGCCATCAATAAAATGCACCTGTGTTCTTCGTCCATAACAGATGCCTGCCCATACCATAACCCCACCACCACCATGGGCCACTCGATCCACAACATTGACATCAGCAAAGCGCTCACCCACACAACGCCACACACACTGTCTGCCATCTGCCCTGAACAATGTAAATTGAGATTCATCCGTGAAGAGAACACCTCTCCAACGTGCCAGACGCCATTGAATGTGAGCATTTGCCCACTCATGTCTGTTATGTCGATGAGCTGGAGTCAGGTCAAGACCCCGATGAGGACGACGAGCATGCAGTTGAGCTTCCCTGAGACAGTTTCTGACAGTTTGTGCAGAAATTGTTTGGTTATGCAAACCAATTGTTTCAGCAGCTGTCTGAGTGGCTGGTCTCAGATGATCTTGGAGGTGAACCTGCTGGATGTGGAGGTCCTGGGCTGGTGTGGTTACACGTTGTCTGCGGTTGTGAGGCCGGTTGGATGTACTGCAATATTCTCTGACACGCCTTTGGTGACAGCTTATGGTGGAGAAATGAACATTCAATGCACGAGCAACAGATCTGGTTGACATTCCTGCTGTCAGCATGCCAATTGCACGCTCCCTCAATGCTTGTGGCATCTGTGGCATTTTGAAGTGAGACAAAACTGCACATTCCAGGGTGGCCTTTTATTGTGGGCAGTATAAGGTACACCTGTGCACTACCCATGATGTCGGATCAGCATCTTGATGTGGCACACCTGTGAGGTGGGATGGATTATCTCAGCAAAGCAGAAGGGCTCACTATCACACATTTAGACTGATTTGTGAACAAAGTTTGAGAGAAATGGTAATATTGTGTATCTGGAATGAATTTTAGATCTTTAAATCCATCTCATGAAAAATGGGAGCAAAAACAAAAGTGTTGCATTTATATTTTTGTTCAGTGTATAATGTTATCTCCCGTGTCACGTGACATTACGTGACCACCGTGACATTACGTGACCACCGCTGTCACATGATGAAAGTCTGTTCCATTTAACCATTTTCTTTGACCAAGGAAGGACAGTGTCCTTGTAAGCAAGGCACCTGCCTTCGACATCGCCTTACGTGGCCAGGCGCCTTGACATTGAGAAACACTCAAAGGGCTTTTCTCAGCTCCGGCAGAAGCTTTCCCTCATCAAAGACCCTCTGCTAAGTAGAACTCTCCAACATCATGTTAGGTGGCAGAAATATAGATCATGTCCAGGAAAACTGCTGTCCTTGAAACAGCATTTCATCACCCCAACTCTAACAGCAGAGAAGCACATCCACATGGTGCAAGCTGATGAGAAGCATGATGAGTGTTATTCTAAAACACCAATGATAGTTTTGGCAAAAAGCGTGAAAAGACACATTATCTGCTTTACACCATTTCTGAATGTTGTGCACGCTCTGAAATACAAATTAGAATGAATCTGAAATTCCCTGAACGCAACAGGGAGATGTGCAGCCAACTCGTGGTTGAATAAATCCATGAAAATTAGTCGGTAAAATGAATAAAAATGAGCAATTGTGCTATTAGTTACAATTAAATGCTGTTAAAATGCCCTCCTGTGGTGAGATAACTACAGTTGATGAATAAAAGAAATGATAACTGGTAACTGACTCTGGTGGTGTGCACAACTCACCTGTATTCCAGGGAGAAGCGGGTTAGCTCGGTCCCGTTGTAGATCCACCTGAATTCCAGGGGCCAGCTGCCCTCGGCCATGCAGGTAAGGACCAGGCGGTTTCCCTCCAGGTGAACCTGAGTCTGAGGAGGCTCCATCTTGAAATAAGGTGGAACATCATCTACTGGGAGCAGAAACAGATAAATAATGAAAAAAATTAGAAACAGAAAGACAAAGCAAACAAAAGTGTGAACAGTGAGAAGGTTGTTAGTAAAAAATGAAGTCCATGATTCAGTAACTCATGTGAGAAGACTCATAACACTATCTCAGCAGTTCACGGGAAATGAGGGCTCAGAACAAGCCATTTCCATTTTTTTCCTGCACTTATTAGAAACTTGAAGGTCAACAGCAAATATTGCCAAAAAGCAGATGGAATAAATTGCTACTGCAAACACATCTTACTCTTTTTCTATCAAATTGAAATGTGCTGGGAGAAAGGTGGAAGAGCAATTTGTGCTGAAAAAAGTGGCTTAAATGAACACTTCCATACCTTTAAACCACTAAAAGATGAGAGGAGGGAAGCGGGAACAGTCAAAGCAGATGGAGAAAAATACAGCATTAAAAATGGAATGCAAGCAATTTAGATGCAGAGAGAGTGAGAAAGTAGGAAGTAATGGGAGGTGGTGGTGGTAGGGGTTGCTTTAGAAAACACAAAGTTTCCTCGTCTTAAACCCCTTTCTCTGACAGGATGAGTTATGCTTTGAGCCTACCTTCATTTATCTTTATAGTTCTCTAATGCAGCCAGATTATACAAGCCCCATCTGCAACACGTCTCACAGCCGGTGCAGCCACAAAAAGCCTTTAAGGTAATTCGCAAAGTCCAGGGCAGAGTTTGGAGACAAAGTGCTTTCATTTGAACTGATGAAAAAGGCATGATCAGACCTATCGATCGGGCTGCCTCGCCAGCCATGGGCGACACGGAGCCAATTGCGCCAGCGTTTGCAGCAGGCTAATTAAAGTCTGTATTAATAGTTGCAGCAAAGCGTTGAGACCCCAAGCTCAGCTGCTTCTTAGTCTGCCACACCAGTTGATTCACGATCACGACTGATCACCAGTGCCTTCCTCACACTCGGCAGTTCAAAGCAAGATTTACTAGAGCAGATGCTGAGTGTGGTATGGCAGAACCGGGTAAATATGAGGGCAGTCCAGGTGAGCAGGGAAGAGGATACAGAAAATATAACCTGATTGAAATCATAAAACAAAGAATGAGTATGGACCAGTGTGTTTCCCACAGGCAGACAGGATTGTAGAGAACAAAGGTATAACAAAAAACACTGTAGACATCCCTTACAATACCCAATCTCAATCCCAATCTGGGCTACGCAGTTGCACAGTGGTTAGAGCTGTTGCTTTACAGCAAGCAGGTCCTGGGTTCGCTTCCCAGCTTGGGATCTTTCTGCATGGAGTTAGCATGTTCTCCCTGTGCGTGTGTGGATTCTCTCCGGGTACTCCGGCTTCCTCCCACAGTCCAAAAACATGACTGTTAGGTTAATTGGTCTGTCTAAAGTGTCCTTAGGTGTGTGTGTGTGTGTGTGGGGGTGATTGTTTGCCCTGTGTGTCTCTGTGTTGCCCTGTGATGGACTGGCTCTCTGTCCAGGGTGTGCCCCGCCTGATTGCCCATTGACCACTGGAGATAGGCACCAGCCCCCCACGACCCTACATGGACAAAGCGGGTTCAGACAATGGATGGATGAATGGATACCCAATCTCAGCCTTTTGATCACACTACACTCACAAAAGAGTAAAACAACCCTAACACATGTGTTTCAAAACAGTCCTTTCATCTTTTGTCTTTTCTGTCCATCATCCTTCTCAAAAAACAAACACTATCAAACCAACCGCCACTTTAAACCGATCTCTAGCAGAGCCCAGGAGCGGGCTGTTGGAGTGGTTGCTCTGCTGTAATTCCATCCACCAAATGCATTTGTACTTGACACACACAATCCCAATTCCAAAACATTCACTCATGGCTGCACACACACACACACACACACACACACACACACACACACACACACACACACAAACACACACACACACACACACACACACACACACACACACACACACACACACACACACACACACACACACACACACACACACACACACACACACACACACACACACACACACAGGCAACATGAGACCACTTTTAGCTGGTTCTGAGTCTCGATGGCTGTGTGCACTTAGCGGTGCCTCCATCAACAAGCCACCATTAGGAACCTGCTCATGCAAACCTGGACTCAAACATCAATCATGCCAGGCAAGAAACATGGAGAATTCTGACTGACTGATGTGAAATAGTGGAATGGGAAATTGAAAGCACTCTAATCTGCTCTGTGGTTATCTGGTATGGCGCCCCGCATGTGATCCCTCAGATGACCCACTTGATAAAAATCCTTGGACATACAGTGGGGCGAAAAAGTATTTAGCCAGCCACCGATTGTGCAAGTTTTCCTACTTAAAATGATGACAGAGGTCAGTAATTTACATCATAGGTACACTTCAACTGTGAGAGACAGAATGGGAAAAAAAATCCATGAATTCACATGGCAGGATTTTTAAAGAATTTATTTGTAAATCAGGGTGGAAAATAAGTATTTGGTCAATTCAAACAAGGAAAATCTCTGGCTCTCACAGACCTGTAACGTCTTCTTTAAGAAGCTTTTCTGTCCTCCACTCGTTACCTGTATTAATGGCACCTGTTTGAACTCATTATCTGTATTAAAGACACCTGTCCACAGCCTCAAACAGTTAGACTCCAAACTCCACTATGGCCAAGACCAAGGAGCTTTCGAAGGACACCAGGAAAAGATTTGTAGACCTGCACCAGACTGGGAAGAGTGAATCTACAATAGGCAAGCAGCTTGGTGTGAAAAAATCAACTGTGGGAGCAATTATCAGAAAATGGAAGACATACAAGACCACTGATAATCTCCCTCGATTTGGGGCTCCACACAAGATCTCATCCCGTGGGGTCAAAATGATCATGAGAACGGTGAGCAAGAATCCCAGAACCACACGGGGGACCTGGTGAATGACCTGTAGAGAGCTGGGACCACAGTAACAAAGGTCACCATCAGTAACACTCTCCAACAGCAGGGAATCAAATCCTGCAGTGCCAGACGTGTTCCGCTGCTGAAGCCAGTGCATGTCCAGGCCCGTCTGAAGTTTGCCAGAGAGCACATGGATGATACAGCAGAGGATTGGGAGAATGTCATGTGGTCAGATGAAACCAAAGTAGAACTTTTTGGTATAAACTCAACTTGTCGTGTTTGGAGGAAGAAGAATACTGAGTTGCATCCCAAGAACACCATACCTACTGTGAAGCATGGGGGTGGGAACATCATGCTTTGGGGCTGTTTTTCTGCTAAGGGGACAGGACGACTGATCCGTGTTAAGGACAGAATGAATGGGGCCATGTATCGTGAGATTCTGAGCCAAAACCTCCTTCCATCAGTGAGAGCTTTGAAGATGAAACGTGGCTGGGTCTTCCAACACGACAATGATCCCAAACACACCACCTGGGCAACAAAGGAGTGGCTCCATAAGAAGCATTTGAAAGTCCTGGAGTGGCCTAGCCAGTCTCCAGACCTCAACCCCATAGAAAATCTGTGGAGGGAGTTGAAAGTCCGTGTTGCTCGGCGACAGCCCCAAAACATCACTGCTCTCGAGAAGATCTGCATGGAGGAATGGGCCAAAATACCAGCTACTGTGTGCGCAAACCTGGTAAAGACCTATAGTAATTGTTTGACCTCTGTTATTGCCAACAAAGGTTATGTTACAAAGTATTGAGTTGAATTTTTGTTATTGACCAAATACTTATTTTCCACCCTGATTTACAAATAAATTCTTTAAAAATCCTGCCATGTGAATTCATGGATTTTTTTTCACATTCTGTCTCTCACAGTTGAAGTGTACCTATGATGAAAATTACTGACCTCTGTCATCATTTTAAGTGGGAGAACTTGCACAATCGGTGGCTGACTAAATACTTTTTGCCCCACTGTACTGTTAGGTGACAATGAACAAAATTGTACATTTCTAACCTCTTTTTTCTCTCATTTTCATGAGCTGAAACATTTTCCAAATACACAAAAGACCCATTCAACTCAATAGCGTTCACAAATCTGTCTAAATCTGTGTTCAGTTCACGAATTAATCCTGATTTTCTCTGTTTAGGGCAGATGGCAGACTGTGTGTGTGGTGTCATGCAGGTGAGCGGTGGATCGAGTGGCCCATGGTGACGGTGGGGTACTGGTATGGCCAGGTGTATGTTATGAACAATGAACACAGGTGCATTGATGGCATTTTGAATGCATCTGATACCACTATGAGACCCTGAGGCCCATTGTTGTGCCATTCATCCATGACCATCGCCTCATATTGCAGCATGACAACCCACGGCACCATACTGCAAGGATCTGTACACAATTTGTGGAAACTGAAAACATCCTAGTTCTTGCATGGCCAGCATACTGCAGACATCCATTGAGCATGTTTGGGATGCTCTGTATCGGCGCATATGACAGCCTGTTCCAGTTCCCGCCAATATTCAGCAACTTCGCACAGCTATTGAAGAGGTGGACCAACTTTCCACAGGCCACAATCAACAACCTGACCAGCTCTATGTGACAGAGAAGTGTTGCCCTGCGTGAGGCACATGATGGCCACACCAGATACTGACTGACAGGAGAAGCGCCCACTAACACAGATTTAGACAGATCTGAGAACAGTATTTGAGAGTATTGTGTTTTTTGTAAATTTAAATAATGTTTCAGATCTTTCAGTTAAGCTTGTGAAAAATGGGAGAAAAAACAAAAGTTCAGTGGATTTGTTCAGTGTAGTGTTAAGTTGCCCTCTTGTCATGAATCATTGTGTCAGATCAGCAAACAATGTTTCTTTCAACATCACACAAGGATCACTTGAGTAAATACAAAATGTAGACATGTAGGATTATGAAATTACTTTCACAGAACCTGTCTGACAATATGAAGTACATAGAAGAGACATCAAAAGCAACATATCCCGTTCAAAAGAAAATCAGGAAACAAAACCAGCAGCTGTGCCAGAGGCTCATGAGATCATAACAGCAAGCCCCCAGGTACACCCACAGCCGTC